TGTGTGGTTTCTGATTGTAGTATAACACTGCGTGTGTGTGTGTGTGTGTGTGTGTGTGTGTGTGTGTGTGTACACGTACTTCTTTTTATTGCCTGAATGTAACAACTGACTGTGCTAGTCCTTCTGAAGATGTTCTGGAGATGGAGTAGATCTTTTGTGACATAAATACAGACCTATCACTTTTTGATTTCTTCTCTGCACCTCCTGCTGATCTTTGTTGTTGTTGTGTTTATTATTGGCTTGGGCGGGTGGTTGTAGAAAATTCAGGGGGAAGGTAGTGTGTTGTTCCTTGTCAGACTTTGGGCTCTGTCAGCCTCTATTATGTATTATATTCCTTGTACCAAGATTTGAAGTTACAGCTGTGTTTATGAAAGAAAGCAGACCAGGTTTTCTTTGTGTGCTGGGCTGCCTCTTGTCTTCTGTTAGTAACTCAGCCGCCTTTTCTACATATTTTTTAGTCTTTCAACATGCACACTGTTACTTAAATGTTTTTTTTAATTTGGAAAAAGTACATGAAATGAATTATTTAAGGTCCATCACTTAATTGAATCAGATTTAGTGGTGTGAACGTCTGTTCTTCCTTTATTCCTTGTATCAGACCTTTTGAGTTTAAGTAAAGGAAGGAAAGGATTATTGGCAGTTAGGTTTGGCAATTAAAAAATAATATGGGGGTGCCTGGGTGGCTCAGTCGGTTAAAGCCTCTGCCTTTGGCTCAGGTCATGATCCCAGAGTCCTGGGATTGAGCCCCACATCGGACTCTGTGCTCAGCGGGAAGCCTGCTTCCCTTCCTCTCTCTGCCCAGTTGTGATCTCTGTCTTTCAAATAAATAAATAAAATCTTTAAAATAATAATAATAATAATATGGATTTGTGTTGGGTTGACAGTAATACCTGTTATGTTACCACATTCAGTGAAGTTCTCTGGGGATTTTTTTTGTCATTGTTGGTTGGTGCCTTATAACCATGCATTATCTGTTTGTGGAAACAACTAGCAAACAAGGTCATTAATAATAGCCTCAACTCCCCTAGAGCACTGTACAGGAAAAGAAAGTACGTATATTTGTTAACAGGAAAAAAATTAGGCTAAACTAGCTCCAGAGAACCTGTGACAACTCTGCTAATGGCTCTTTGTTGCAGGCATTCGATGAAGCAATTGCTGAGTTGGATACGCTGAACGAGGAGTCTTACAAAGATAGCACCCTGATCATGCAGCTGCTTAGGGACAATCTCACTGTAAGTACTGCTGGTTAACGACCCTGCTCTTGGAGGGCTTAGAGTCTTGTTCCTATCACCGACCGAAGAATTCACTGTTGCCCAAGACTCCCCAAGGGGATTTGTACCCTGTAAGTAGAGTGAAACGTACTAAATTGTTAAATTGGTTGTAAATGACTGCTAAAGTTTTGGCCTCTGCAGTCCTCATAGTCTGCAGTAATACAGTGATAATTTGAAGCAGTTAAATGAGATAAGTTGGTCCAGACTGGGCCCACTTCTCTGAGTGAATTTTAGGAGCCTTGTTTTGATTAGAGTTCTGTTTTTCTCTTGCAGCTGTGGACGTCGGAAAACCAGGGAGATGAAGGAGATGCTGGGGAGGGAGAGAACTAATGTCTGTTGTGCTTCGTGATCTGTTCAGTGTCACTCTGTACCCTTCACATATATCCCTTTGTGCGATAAAAAAAAAAAAAAAAAAAAAAGTCGTACGTCGACTTTCAATTTTTCACAGCCTCAGCCTAGCAAAATGGTCCATGGGATAAACAGCTGGTGTGTGTATCTAAAACTCAGATTGGTCACATAAATGCCACGGCATTCTGAAGTTTTGATTTTGATTAACATTGACAGGATTACTATGTGCTGAATTTTTTTTTAAACTGAACACTGTGATTATGGGGTTTTGTAACTTAGCAGAACTCTTACTGGTAGAAAAACTAGACCTAAATTATGTGTAACTTTTTGGAAAGTTTAAACTGATAAACTAGTCACGGAAATAACAGTTCCATTGTAAAGTTGTACAGAAAGTTATAGAGATTATATTGTGACGCTGGGACACAGAGTAAGACCCCTGTCCTATGACAGCAACTCATAGTAGTTCTGCCTGTTTGGGGGGGTTACAGACACTTGGCCAGTTTGAGCTGTTGCCACTCAAAAGTTCATGACTGTAGATGTCCACAGTGTCTTCCTCTCCATAAACTCGAAGCCTAAAATGGAAACTCTTTGTGGCTGATAATTGGGTTTTGACACCGTGAAAAGGCCCAGTGCTCCTAGACCCCGTGACTAACACCCCTTTCCCACAGCCATCTTACTGATTTGCAACTTGGGCTCCAGTAGTGGAATCTGTTTTCCTTGTAACCAAGACCTAAAGAAGAGAAAAGCCGTGTATCTTATGAATGGCCTTATCTGTTTCCTGGGTAATACCTTTCAGAGTCATGTTCTGCAGAGATTGCCTTTCACTTAAGAAGTACTCAAGTCTTTGGGTGCTTCCTAGCTTGGGGCTTTCAAATTTTGAAATCGAGACATTCTTCCCACTGTCCTTTTTGACTGTTGACCTTGGTTTTTCTTTTCCCTCTTGAAGTTTCTGTCCTCCTCCTTTACATTTTTTTTCCTTTTCAGTTCTGTTGTCTTCTGTTCGTTGTCGAACACCGTACGGGCAGGGCGGGGGCCTGGAGGGGGTGAGCGAAGATGGCAAGCACTTTGGTTCGCAGGCCTCACTTCAGGGGAGTTGAGAAGAGCCAGCACATAGCTCTGGCTTCCTCTGATTTCTCAGCGCGCTCGTTGCTCTTCAGTCAGACCAAGATCTGAGTCAAAAAAGTGTTTTTAAATACCCATGATTTCTCCCTGTGTTGCAGCCAGCCCTGATAATGCTTGTTAGTACCTGTCACCAGCTCTCCCAAGTGTGCTCCTCCAGCCAAGTTCACAGACCTGTTTGAACAAGACCCTATAATGCAGGGAAGTTGCATGAACACCACAGTGGGGAGAGTCCAGAATAGCCAGGCCTACCAGTCTCACAGTACCCCCTCTCCCTGGAACATTCCATGTAGCTGTAGTGTCCGCCTGTTTGTCCATCTGCTGAAATGAGAAAAGAAACATTCATGCACTGATTTAAAACCAAAAAAAAGGAAAAAAAAAAGGAAAAAAAAAAACCCTCCCCCCTTTCTAGCTGAACAAAAATGTGCAGTTAATACTTGGCGCTTGAAAATGCAGTAGTGAATGTGGAACGAGCCTGTCTGTATATCTGGTAGCTCTTTCTTGCTTCGTTTTTCCTTACCAGTATTCTGCCTCACGTTTGCTTCTGTGACGGTTGGTTATATTGCCTAGCAAGCACTCCTGTGGTTGTGAAAATAGTATAGCAAAAAAAAAAAAAAAGAAAAAAAAAGAAAAATCCCCGGTTATTGATGTACTAGATTTGTGTATGTCTTTTAAACAGTTCTAGTTTCCACCTTATCACGGAATAATCAGGAAAAGTGTAAAAATTCAAAAGTGAAATAAAAAATTTTATCAGTTGCCTGTGAACTGATGTATGGCGCCATCTCTCTCACTACCAGAATTAGCTGCCTCTTCTGGTCACACTCACTTGTAGCTCTGCTCTAAAAGTAGGGAACATCTTTATTTCTCACCCTGTTTAGAACCAGAAGTCAGGGTGTTGTAAAGGAGGAGAAATTACCATTAATAAAGAGCCACTCTGCCTATTACGGGACGCTTCTCCGCCCTCCACGACAAACCACCCATGTGTTAGGTCCTCTTTTGTAGCTTCTAAGATTTGCTATGAACAGTTATTTTACATCCCATTCAAAAAGCACACACACCCCGTTTTTTTAAACCCTGAGATGTAGCAAAGCCTGTGAGAGATGCGTAAGGCGTGGTCATCCCCAGGGTTCTACCAGACTGTCCTCTGCCCTAACACTTTCTGAGAGCCTGCAGCACTGTTTCCTCATAGCATTTGCACCCTTTCTAAAAACTTCCACACTCCCATAAGGAAAGGGAAGAAAGGAAGGTATTTTTCAGCCCAAGATTACTCAGTCCTGTGCCTGCTTACTACTGTGCAGCACAACCAGACCCGTTCCGAGCTCTTCCGCCTGCCGAAACCTCACTCAAGCAAAGGTCATTGGGAACCGGGAGAGTCCCTGTGAGGGGCAAGGGGAAATAGGGCCCACAGAGCATCGGAATTCTCTTTTAAATGCCCCCACACCACGGGTAGGTTGAGGCCGCAAGCACAGCTTCAGGCCACTGTCTCGGCCTTGTACTGTCAGGTGACTCCTGTCCCCATAGAGTAACAGGCTTCCCGATGGAATGCTGGTGGAAGGGCTTAGTCAAAAGAAAGCTGGGGTGGGGTGGGGAAGTCCTCTCAGGTCATGATCTCAAGAGTTGTGGGATGGAGCCCTGCACTGGGCTCCACACACAGAGTGGATCCTGCTTAGGATTCTCTCTAACTCCTCGCACCACTCTCAAAAAAACCCCAAAAAATGGTGGGCCAGGAATATCCGGGAAAAGATGTTGGTGATACGAGAGTCAGTGTCAAGGAAGGCCTTGGTCACAAATTCTCAAGTGGAGCCTTCAGTCCCAGGTCATAAGGCCGGTTCCAGAGCGGGTGCTGGATTCTGGCTATCTTGAAAAGACTTTCAGGAGGCAAGGTGCACAAGCTTTGAAAGTGGGAGTCTGGCCCGGGATTCTCTTCGTCTGTGAGACGCACAGAATTGCATCGGGTCCCTTACAATCCCTGAGAAGAGCGCCGTCGGGGTTTTACTGAGAAGCGAAATGGACCCAGAGACCCAGAAGGCAATGACCTTCGGGACTGGAACAAGCCCGGGTTGGGCTCTGACCCGAGTCCCCGCAGCCCGACCCCAGGCCTGGTGGAGGACGCGCTCCGCCTGCAGAGGCGGGGTCCCAGAGGCCTCACCTGGGGCTGCTGGAGCGCTGAGGGGTCCCAGGTGGGACGCGGGGCGGGGCGGGGGCTAAAGGGAGGGGCGGCCGCTCGGAGGAGAGGCCCACCGCGGCGTCTCGGCCAACGCCATGAACGCCAGCGGCCCGGGCTACCCGCTCGCCTCGCTCTACGTGGGCGACCTGCACCCCGACGTGACCGAAGCCATGCTGTACGAGAAGTTCTCGCCCGCCGGCCCCATCCTGTCCATCCGCGTGTGCCGCGACGTGGCCACCCGCCGCTCGCTGGGCTACGCCTATATCAACTTCCAGCAGCCGGCGGACGGTGAGCCCCGGGGCAGGGGGGAGACAGACAGACGCACAGACGCGGGGGCCGACCAGTGGCAGCTCGGGCCCACGCTGGCAAATCTGGCTGCTCCCACGGCTCTCATTTTGCAGCCAGGGAAACTGAGGCCCAGAGATACAGGGCGTTGGAAGGGGTGCTGCCCCTGAGACAAGAACAGGCAATCAGTGTGCGCCTACTGTGTGTCTTACTGGTGCTCCGTCTTACAGGGGGCAAATATTAAGGCTGAATGAAAACAGCCAAGGGCTCTGGGGCTGGGCAGACCACGGACTGGAAAGCCCGCAGCTGTGTGACTTTGAGCAATTACTCAGCCATTCCGAGATTCGGTTGTCTGAGGAATGGGGACGGTACCCGCCTTTCCGCAGTGGTTGGGAGGATGAGAAAATCAAAGCACCTGGTGAGTTTGCAGGTGATGAGTGGGGAAGGCAGGAGCACTGGGTCTTGGGCTCGCACCTTTCTCAGCTGCCCAGATCTGGTCTCCATTCCAGGCCCCAGACTTGATGTCTCAGAGCTGAGAGGACTGATTGGTTTGTTGGGTGGTTAGGACCGCACTGTTTGACGGTGGAGAGGATGCAGAGTGAGAGCACCAAGTTTTGCCAAAGTTCGGTCACTAGGGTGTGAACTTGAACAAGAGTTCACACTCCCCACCTCTCCATCTGTGAAAAGGTGTGATGGTTTGTTCCCCAACAGCGCAGAAGGAATGCACTGTGTCTGTGAATATCTCCAGTATCCTTTGGTGCGTGGTAAAAAACCCTGGGTGGGTGGGAAGGGATCCTAAACGAGGGTTTGCCGGGGTGGTTCTGCCTGTTTCCCAGCAGGTGACTGAACTAGGTTCCAGAGCGCCTTCTCCTTTGCTCTGCTTTCCCTACCCCTGCCTCTAACCTCTTCCCCCAAGCCCTGCGCACTCTGGCCTTTCCGCCAGACTTCACAGATGAGCTAAATGGAGCTCTAGGGAAGAGAAAGGATGTTGCCTCTTAGCCGGGAGGGAACGGGCTGTGGTAGGGGCGGGAGGATGGGCAGAGGCTGCTGTTTGCAGACACCCTGCCACTCCCCGAACTCCTGTTTTGTGCCAGGCCGAAAGTGTAAGGCCCCTGGCGTATCTTCTTCAATTTTCAACCTGTCCCACTCCCTGGAGGTAGCTAGTGCCATCTCCCTTTGTTCGATGTGGAAAAGGGGTCATCATCTCATCATCCCCACTTTGCAGGTGAAGAAACCACCTCAGAGAGGTGTTCTCCCCCAGAGCCCTACGTCTCGGGATTGAGTCTCAGCTCTGTCCCTCCGTACCTCTGAGCTTTGGTTTCCCCTAACTGCTGCCAGTCTTTGTCTTATGGGCCCTCCTTTGCATTTGCATCTACTCCGTGTGCTTTTGAACACCGCAGTAGACCTTGCCACACCACTGACCCTTCCCCTTTCTGAGCCTCAGTTTTCCCCTCTGTGAAGTGGGGCTAGGGATCCCGGCTCACGTGAGGAGCCGAACGAGACCCCAGCAGGAAGGTGGGAGGAGCACTGCGCACATTAATTCTTTCCACGTATCTCCCTTCTTTCAAGTGAGACCCAGACAGTGAGTTTTTGTGTTTTTTGTTTTTTTTTTTCCTTTTTTGCTTCTAATAAATTACCTTAGGGCTCAGGGAAAGAAATACCCTTACTTGCCCCCTTTTCTCCTCCTCCTCCCCCCACCCCCTGTCCAGCGGAGCGGGCACTGGACACAATGAACTTTGAAGTGATCAAAGGCCAGCCCGTCCGCATCATGTGGTCGCAGCGAGACCCCGGACTCCGCAAGTCGGGTGTGGGCAACATCTTCATCAAGAACCTGGAGGACTCCATTGACAACAAAGCCTTATATGACACGTTCTCCACCTTTGGGAACATCCTCTCTTGCAAGGTGGGTGTGCGTCCTTCCAGGAGAGGGTCTGTGTCAAATACCCGTGTGGCAGAGGGATCCCAATCAGTGCCCCCGCTTCACACCTTGCCAAGCTGTCAGCAACAGCCGTTTCTTTAGCTTGTAATTCTGCAGCTGGTGGTCTGGGCAGTTCTGCTCTCGGCTGGCTCCTTCATAGGCCCCCTGCAAGCTGACTGGCTCGGCCCCCCTCCCTGCCGTCTTTCCTCCTCCAGCGGGCTAGCTCAGGCCATTCCTATGACAAGGGCGGTGTCTTCCTGGCACGCTGCATGGAAGCTCACCAGGCCTCTTGAGATGTAAGCTTGGGACTGGCCCGCCTTTCCTTCCACTGCATTCTGTTGGCCAAAGCAAGTCACGAGACAAGTTCAAATTCAGAAAGTGAGGACAGTAGACATGACAGGATGAAGGGTGTGGATACTGGAAGGCTGCTCACTGAGGCCATGAGGGCCGTCAAGCCTTAAGGCTTCCTCTGGGCTACAGAGGATTGGACAGAAAGCTGGATGGGACCTGGGCAAGTGTCTGAGGCCCAACAAGGACCCGTTGTGGCAGGATGGGGCCTACCCCAGGAGCTCGCAGGCTGGTTGGAGACGGTGAGACTTTTAGGAAAAGCTGGAGATTGGGCTCTGTGGGGGAAAAGCCCAGTGAGCCCTGCAGTCAGAGGCTGAGGCTAGAAACCCACACCACATGGCTGCCCGGGAAAGGTTTCTGGAGCACGGCAGGAAGAGCACTAGACCCGTGTAGTCGGCCAGCTGCTGAGAAGCCAGCACAACATAGTCGGTCAGATCTTGGACTTTGGTGCTGACTGTCTGGGGTTCAAAATCCAGCCTTTTCCGCTTCCTGGCAATGTGACCTTGGGCCAGCTGTGTGACCTCTCCATACCTCGACTTCCTCTAAAAGAGGGCCTTAGTAGAACCTACCTCATAGGCTTGTCATGCACGTATTTTAAGTCTGATAATCTTCACGACATTGAAAGGACCCTGACGCCCTGTTCCCCATCTAAGTGGTAGCTCGCACAATCAGAAACTTGGCCGGCTGGTGACCTTGGACTAGTCCTTCATTCCCATCTTCCCCAGTTGGGCAGTGGGGGCTCAGAGGTTAAGAATTGCCTGGAGGAGCTCTTAGAGCAAATAGGACAAGAGAAGCCTATGATCCCCTTAGCATGTGCTTAGCCTGGAGTGGGGCTCTGGTCTACATGATTAAATCTGGAGGGAAGAGCAGGGGGCTGGAGTGGAACGTGGAGGGACCCCGCCTGGGGCACAGAGTAAGCACGCAGGTAGTGGTTATTCATTACCTTTGCCATTCTCCGTGGGGTGCCCCCCCAACCCCATCCATCTCCTCCGTGGCCCAGGTGGTATGTGACGATCACGGCTCCCGAGGCTTTGGCTTTGTCCACTTTGAGACCCATGAGGCAGCGCAGCAGGCCATCGCCACCATGAACGGGATGCTGCTGAATGACCGCAAAGTGTGAGTGCTGGGATGTGGGGGACCGGAGGCTGCCCGTCACCGCCTCAGGGCACCGGACACTGAGCCGCAGCCAGAACTCTGCTGGTGGGGTGACCACGGAAGGGTCCAGTCCCTCGGAAGCACCCTTTCCCCAGGGAAGAACAGGGCTGCAGATGTTCCTAGAGGATTGTGCTGAGTCCTAAGTGAGGGGATTTTGAAATTTCGGCGGGAACAGCTAATGGCCAGATCACCACTGGATTCAGTGATGTCTGGTTTCCAGCCTGCTCGGCATGGCTGTGAATTTTTTTTCTTAAAACGTTTGTGTTGTTCCATGGGGCTTTTGGACAGGAAGGGAGGTAGGCCCTTAGCATGCCATCTTCTTACATGTCTGTTCGCCATCCCCCCACATCCCCCGCCCGGCACCGCTGCCACCGCGGCAGACCCCCAGCCTCACGGTGGGCAGGGCAGGGGGGAAGACGCTGGAGCGCATCTCCTTCCCAGGCTTGGATCCTGCCCATGGGACAACCAGCCCCACGCTCAGTGCCGTGGAGGGAAGCAGGCTCTGAGCTGGAAGATGCACTGAGAGTGGCTTTGTCCAGAGCGTCTCAGGGAGGCTCCCATCAGTGAAACCGAGCCTGGCGGGCTTTCCCCGGTTCTCAGAAGGACATGATCTTTGTTAGCTCCCGTTTGCCCAGGTTCACCTTTGCTACTCCGTGTTCTGTAATTTTTAATGCCAGCTACCATTTGTTTGTGCTAACTGTGCTATAGATGCCGTGGAATTTTCTTACGTTTTCTTTTCTTTTTTTTTTTTTTAAAGATTTTATTTATTTATTTGTCAGAGAGAGAGCACAAGCAGTGGGGAGAGCGAGAAGCAGGCTCCCCCCTGAGCAAGGAGCCCGATGCAGGGCTCGATCCCAGGACCCTGGGATCATGACCTGAGCCGCAGGCAGATACTTAACCCACTGAGCCAGGCGCCCCTCTTATGTCTTCTTCTTAACCTAGGATACTTTTCTGGAAGTGTTTACATGAACTTGTCCGACAAAGCTGATTTTGAAAGTTAAATTTTCAGGAGTGCCTGGGTGGCTCAGTGGGTTAAAGCCTCTGTCTTCAGTTCAGGTCATGATCCCGGGGTCCTGGGATCGAGCCCCTCATCGGGCTCTCTGCTCAGCAGGGAGCCTGCATCCCCCTCTCTCTCTGCCTGTCTCTGCCTAGTTGTGATCTCTGTCTGTCAGATGAATAAAATCTTAAAAAAAAAAAATTAATATTTTCAGTCTGCCCCAATAGTAACCATGGCATGGCACATGTCTGGTTCTCTCACCACTGCTTCCCTAGTGCATCCGGTACCTGTTACATGAACAAGCAAATGCCTGTGATCGGAGCTTCATGCCCAGTTTTTTTTTCTATTTTGTGTGGTTTTAAAAAAATATTTTGTTTATTTCAGTGAGAGAGTGAAAGCGCACACAAGCAGTGGGGAGGGGGAGAGGGAGGGGGAGAAGCAGACTCCCTGCTGAGCAGGGAGCCTGACCTGGGACTCAGTCCCAGGACCCTGGGTTCATGACCTGAGCCAAAGGCAGATGCTTAACCAACAGAGCCACCCAGGAGCCCTGGTATTTTTTTTTTTTTTTTTTTTAAGTAATCTCTACACCCAACACGGGGCTTGAACTTACAGCCCTGAGACCAAAAGTCGCATGCTCCATGGACTGAGCCAGCCAGGCACCCTTCATGCCCAGTGTTAGAGGAGTGCACGCTGAGGCTCAGAGAGGTTGAGTAACGTGCCCAGGGTCACACCGCTAGGCAACTGCAGAGTGAGGATTGAGGTGCTCATCTGACTCTCCAGTTCACACTTGCTCTTCTCTCCTGCACACTCAGCTGCCTGGTGTATGGGAGGAGTTCCCTGTGCATTTGCCCCAAGAATGAACCCTTCTTAACCGTATGCTACAGCGTGAATCTTGGCTGTTGGAAGTGGTCCAGCCTTGGCCGTAGTCCGTCCAAAGAGTATTGCCCTGCCCAGCCTCCCGAGGAGGGATTCGGGGGCCTTGGACCTGGTAGCAATTGACGCAAGTGACACAGGGTTGCTGGGTGGGATGGGGGTGACGGAGGGCTGGCAGCCGCCTACCCCGTCAGTGTGTCCGCAGCTTCGTCGGCCACTTCAAGTCCCGACGGGAGCGGGAAGCAGAGCTGGGAGCGCGGGCCGTGGAGTTCACCAACATTTACGTGAAGAACCTCCATGTGGATCTGGATGAGCAGGGCCTGCAAGACCTCTTCTCCCAGTTTGGTGGGCGTGTTCCCCAAGGGCATCAGGGATCACTTTGTCCTCTGTCCCTAGATTGGGCTGGGAGGAGGGGCCTTTCCGGAGGCTTCCTGAGGAGTTGTGGCGGGCGGGGGGGGGGGGGGGGGGGGGCCACACGGCCGGGGGGGGCCAAAGCCACAAGGGGGGTGGGAAAGGGAGGGGAACATCCTGGGGCTTCCCAAACTCCCCTCTGAGCCAGGTTGGCCCTTCCCAGGGAAGATGCTGAGTGTGAAGGTGATGAAGGATGAGAGCGGCCACTCCCGAGGCTTTGGTTTTGTCAACTTTGAGAAGCATGAGGAAGCCCAGAAGGTAGGAGCCTCCCTGTGGCTCTGTTTCATGGAGGAGGCACCAAGCCAGCACTAGGAAGAAAGGAGATCAGATACAGAGGGCTCCAGCTGCTGCGAAGGAGAAGGAAGTCCCTCCCCAGCCTGGGCCCACAGCAGTCAGGGCTCTTCCTGCCTGTGACAAAGGCTGAGGGTTGCAGCCTCCTTTGGGTGCTTCTGTTTGGAAGCCAACTAAAACCGACTGCTTTTCATAGGTTCTTGCCCACATGGGAGGTGGAGGGGCCTCTGAGACAGCCACTGCCCTCTTCTTGAATTGATGGTGGGACTGAGGCTGGGGAGGGGAAGTGCTAGGTGATTCCTTGCTCCCAGGTCTCTGCAAATGTGTTTCTCAAAATGTTTCCCTTCTCTTGCTCTTTCAGTTAGGGCTGTCCAGTAGAAATAGAATGGGGGCCACAAGTGAGATTTAAAATTTTCCAGCAGCCACATTACAAAGGATAAGACAAACAACAAATTGATTTTAATAATGTCCCCTTCAACTTAATATATTGAAATTATCACTCCAGTATATATTCAATATAAAAATTGAGATATTTTATGTTCCCCTTGTATTAATTCTTTGGAATCTGGTACTCCTGGCACGTGTGAACTCAGACTAGCCACAATTCCAGTGCTCAGTAGCCACCTGTGGCTACTGACCGCCATATTGGACAGTGCGTCTTTAGACTACTCAGTGCTTACTCTGTGGGTTTCTGCTTATTCTTTGCCTCCTCTGAGAAGCCTCTTCTATCCTCATGCTTCTGATGAGGGGCCCCTTCTTCCTCTCTCCATCAATAACCCAGATCTCCATGTATAGAACTGTGGGTAGAGACTGGATCTTATTTCACAGCGAAATCTCTGGCATTGCACCTGCCAGTAAGTACCAGATACCCACAGGCTGAGCAAGTGAATGGAATGAGGTCACACCATGACAATGTTTTCCTATCTGGCTTCCCACCCTAACGCTCTTTCCCAGGCTGCTGCCTCATTAAGACCATTGGACATGGGGATCTCAGCTCATTGTGGATTCTGGCTAGAGAGATCAGGCCCAGTGCCATCTTGATGGCAGCCGCCTCTCCCTGAGCACTTACCATGGGCCGAGCACTTACCATGGGCCGGGCACTGTGCGAAAGGCTGCATACACTCTCCTCTCTGCTCTACCAGCGTGGGTTCAACGGTTACCACAAGGGTGTAGCTGGTGAGAGGCACCACTGGGATTAGAACGCACTCCTCTGACTCTGAAGCTTTGTTCTTAAGTGAATGGCCCCTTTCAAAAGGTGACCTCTTGTGTGTCCTTGGACAAATCCCACCCTCTCTCTAGGCTTTGGTTTTCTCAACTGTAAAAATGACACATTGGAGCTTCAAGGATCCATTGACTCCAAAATCTTAGAGACTTTGGCAATGAATTTTATACATTTTCTGTAGGCGTAAATTTTTTTTAACAGTGTTTGTTTCAGGTGTGCAATATAGTGATTCAACAATTCCATACACACCATGATGTTTATAGTCACATTATCTACAGTAGCCAAATTATGGAATCAGCCCAAGTGTCTATCAGCTGACATGGATAAAAAAGATGTGTGTGTGTTGTGTGTATGTGTGTGTGTGTGTGTGTGTGTGTACTTATACACACTTAAAGACACAGTGGAATATTACCCATAAAAAATGAACTATTGCTAAATAGGTGATGGGAATCGAGGATTGCACCTGTATTAAAGTGTTGAATCACCATATTGTAGACCTGAAACTACACTGTGTTAACAGACCTATTTCACCCATTCACCCCACCCTCTCACCTCTGCTAACCATCAGTTCTCTATAGTGAAGAGTCTGTTTCTTGGTTTGCCTCCCTCTTTTTTCCCCCTTGCTCATTTGTCTTGTTTCTTAAATTCCACATGAGTGAAATAATATGGTATTTGTCTTTCTCTGACTATTTTGCTTAGCATTATACTCTCTAGCTCCATCCATGTCCTGAAAATGGCAAGCTTTCATTCTTTTTTATGGCTGAATAATATTCCAAAACTGTAGTCATCAAAATAGTATGGTATTGGCACAAAAATAGATGCACAGATCAATGGAACAGATTAGAAAACCCAGGTACTGACCTTTTAAGACTGATGTGGAACTAGCAGTTCTTGGGGTCTGAGAGTATGTTTACAAGGATTTGCATATTTGGGAGGGGAAGCAAAAGTCACTGTTGTGTGAAAATATTTTTTTAAGGACTTTGTGTGTATAAGAGAGAGAGGGAGCACAAATGGGGAATAGGGGCAGAGGGAGAAACAGACCCCCTGCTAGGCAGAGAGCCCAATGTGGGGCTCGATCCCAGGACCCTGAGATCATGACCTGAGCCAAAGGCAGAGGCTAACCCACGGAGCCATCCAGGCATCCCTATTTTTATTTATTTATATTTTTTCAAGATTTTATTTGCCAGAGAGAGTGAGAGCACAAGCATGGGGAGCAACAAGTAGGGGGATAAGCAGGCTCCCTGCTGAGCAAGGAGCCTGATGAGGGACTCGATCTCAGGACCCTGGGATCATGACCTGAACTGAAGGCAGACACTTAACCGACTGAGACACCCAGGCATCCCCCAATTTTTAAAATCTATGTTTTCAAAAAGTGGATTCACTTTAAAGGGCCTTTATCCTGGTTCTACTAATTCTCAGCCATTGAGGCTGGCCCAGCTGACAGGTGGCCCCCTTCAGGCCCAGATGCTGGGACTGGAGGCAGGGCCTCATGGGGGTGTTACCAGTTACTTTCGCCCCTTCCCCGGCCAGGCGGTGATGGACATGAATGGGAAGGAGGTGAGCGGGCGGCTGCTGTACGTGGGCCGGGCCCAGAAGCGGGTGGAACGGCAGAATGAGCTGAAGCGCAGGTTTGAGCAGATGAAGCAGGACCGGCTGACCCGTTACCAGGTGACAGCCCCCTGGGGGCAGCTGCTGCTATGTGAGCATGTCTGTGTGTGGAGGGCCCTGAATGGGAAGCCTTCCTCCAGCAATCCCGTGTCTGGGAACTGGGCTTTAGTGGTTGGGCAGGGGTAGCTGTAGCTTCCGTGCTTAGTGACTGGGGGGCATGGGTGCCATGCAGGACTGGAAACAGGAGGCTGGGTGGCCAGGGCTTCTAGGCCCCCCATGGCTTACATTGGCCTCTGACACAGAGCAACCCGAGGCTTGGAGGGAAGGGACACCCCCAGCAGTAACCTTTCTTTCTAGGGTGTGAACCTGTACGTTAAAAACCTGGATGACTCCATTGATGATGAGAAGCTGAGAAAAGAGTTCTCTCCCTATGGAGTGATTACCAGTGCTAAGGTGAGGACTGGGGGCACCTACAGGGGATGGAGAGCCTTCCCCTCCTGTCCTCCTGCTGCTTGCACCCCCCCCCCCACTTTGTGACTTCCGAGGAGCTGGTGCTGAGCCATTCCTTTTAGAGTTTAGGGGGCTATGTCTGATCCCCATTGGAGCTTGGTGGCCCTCTGCAGCCTTGTCTGCTCTGGAGGGGAAGAGGATGTGAGTCCAGTCCCAGTCACATAGCTGGACTTATCGGGGTTCCCTGTAACCTTGGTTCATTCAAAAAGCATTAATTGAGTGCCTGCTATATGCCAGATTCTAGAAATTCACGTTTCAGAATTTCCATTGACTTTTGTTGTCTTCTGGATCTCAGTTTCCCCATTTGGAAAATGAGAGGGTTGGGCTACTTCATTCGTCATTCATTGTTCCCCATTTACTGAGCACTTACCATGAGCCCAGCCCGCTTAGCACCTGATATGTGATGACTGGCCGTTCTACTCAGTAGCTCTGTGACCATGGGCTGTTTTCTGAACTTCATCTACACCATGAGACTGTTGGGTTCATTGGATGTTTCTGACCCCTGGCTTATTAACCCCCTCTTGGCAGCTCTTACAGACAGACACCTGAGTCAGACAAACGGAAAGAAGATTTCACAGTAGGGCCTGGGCATCTTATTTTAAAGCTCCTCAGAGGATTTTCGGATAACCCAGTGTTCATTCCTTCCATATTCCTCCTGCCTCACCAGGGCCTCTGGGAAGCCTGTAGTAATGAGTTTGATGTGGTTCTTGCCCTTGAGTAGCTTCCAGTCAAGGGGGAAGTCAGATGCATCACCAACTCACATCTCTTATAAGGTGTTTGTGGTGTGGGCTGGGAGTATTGGAGGCAGAGCTGTGGTAACTCAGGGGACCAGGAAGGAGGGCTTCCTCCTTCTGACAGTGGCAGAAGCATTTGGCTTGGCTATAAGGAGGTAGGGACCTGCAGCGGGGGGAAGGAGGAACTTTCCAAAGACATCAGTGTGAGTGGTGGGGCTGGAGACCTGCATATGTGATATGATGGTTGGGTTCTTGGGAAGTGGTCTAGAAGGTCTTTTGTCTGTTGAATCCAATTTCAATTTTTAAATTTTTTTTTATTTTTTAAAAGATTTTATTTATTTGTCAGAGAGAGAGAGAGAGTACAAACAGGGGGCGTGGCAGGCAGAGGGAGAAGCAGGCTTCCCACGAGCAGGACCCTGGGATCACGACCTGAGCCAAAGGCAGACGCTTGTTTAACCGACTGAGCCACCCAGGCATCCCCGTTGAATACAATTTTAAATGTCCTTCAGGAAGTCTGGTGTTTAGGGCAGAGGTTCTAAGAATTTTTGAGTTAAGGATCTTTGAAAAAATGTCAGAGCTATGAGATGTGTAAGTTAAGCATCTGTACATTTGCTTAAACATTATAAAAAAGCTATCTACCCTCTTTGCCAGCAAACGTGTACTTTGTGTAGTATGGTGTTTGAAAACTGGGATGTTCAAGTTAGTTAGAACTAGGTCTAAATCCCAGTCCTACATTAACTAGCTGTAGAATCTGAGGGAAGTGACTCTGTCTTTTGGACTCTGTTTACCCATCTGTCAAATGGGAGCAACATTCCCTACCTCTCAAGGTGTCCTGAGCACTGAAGAGCCTGAGTGCAGAGCACCTGCCCCCAATAAGCTGTGAAATGACGATCTGATTATTCACATGTCGTGTCTATTTTCCGGAGATTCACCGACCTCCGTGAGGACTCGCTGAGGGAAGGGAATTGTAAAAATTTGGGCTGCTCTGAGTTGCGGCACTATCTTGTTCATTGACCCACGAGGTTATAAAGTGGGGATTTTATGGACGTTTACATATTTCCATGATTTCAATTGTATATAAAATGCAACGATTACGAAAAGGAATTAAGGCCTGTAAAGTGCTAATGGCACTACCACGTTTATAGTAAGCTGCATAAATGTATTTTATCATTCTTTACTATCTAACAGAAGTTCTTATTAACTTGTTAAGCAGTACTTTTGTGCCAAGAAAATCTGGGTGAGGAAAGCCTATGGATCCCTTTTGAGAATACTTTTTAGTGCATAAAAGAAAATTCAGAGCATTGCGGAAAACCAATTATATTGAAACAAAATTATCAAAACACGAAGGTGACAGTAGTAGGTGCTTTGTTATTGTGCCCAACTATAAGATCTAGGGAGGCAACCGTTAGTATAGATATTTTGAAGGCAGCAGTGATTAACAGGATATGAAAATATTTTCTTTCTCTTTCTGACAAAATTCCAAGCACAGCCAAGGCTCCCCTATTTTTGTTGTCTGTATTCACAATAGGAGGGAACCCTAATGTGAGAAAGGAGAGGCCATTGTTCCCCCCCATCCGAGTTCACAGATCCCCTGACTTCTGTCCACGGGCCTCCCTGGGCAGGGGCAGTGTCTGTGAACCCTCAGGCTCAGGCCCCCGTGTGGTCGGGTAGCAAAGTGCAGTTCGAACACCGATGATATAGGACATACGGAACATGGGCTCTAATAGAGAAGCAGATTTTAAAAGTATATCCGTTCAAGTCCAAATGTGTGAGCCAGGCCAGTGTCTTGACTCCAAAAAACATTACAAACCATACATGCAATGTGGATTGGATCCTGGAAGAGAAAAATAATATTTATTAGAAAAACTAGTGAAAGATGAATGAGATCCGCGGATCAGTTAATAGCATTGTGGTTGATAATAGTACCGTCCCAACGTTAATCTACACATGTACCCTGTTCAGACTGGGGCAAGTGGGCTGAAAGATAGCCACTCCGTACTAGTTTTGCATTTTTTCTGTGCATCTGAAGTTATTCCAAAACTTAAAAAAATGATATTTTAGTAACAAAGCTAAGAACCTCTTCCCCAGATTCCTAAAGAATTTGGCTCAGTGCCTTGCAGAGGCAATGAACAATTATCAGAACGCTGCATTGGGTTTGAATCCTGGATGATGTGTGTCCACAGGCTGGGTGACTCTGGACAAGTCACTCTCTTTTTTAAACTGTAATAAGGACTTTTATTTCTACCACAAAGAAAATAGAATAAGGCACCAAAAATATAAATCACTTTTGGGGCGCCTGGGTGGCTCAGTTGGCTAAGCGTCTGGTCAGGTCATGATCCCAGGGGGATCAAGCTGCACATAAAAAAAAATATATATATATATATGTGTGATTTTATTGGACTTTCTAGGAAACTCTTAAGAACGTTTTATTCTTTCCCTGATTCCCACATGAACCAAAGAATTGTATGGGTCGTTTAAAAAAACCAAAGAGTAGTTGAAAGGCAGATTTTCATCACAGGGACATCACACGACGTGTTTAATATTGTGGCTCTGGCTAAAGAACCCTGTGCCCTGGTCTTAGATTTTTTAAGCAATCCTCAACTATCCTCTTCCTTCATGGTAGCCCGTGTAATGTAGGTAGATTCCGTTTAAAGCAGCTTTCCTGCACAGCTTAGGAAGACCATTTCAGAAAGAAAATGTGAAAATCCTGAAATGCAGCAGTTTCCACAGACTCTGGGGAGTGTCCTGTTAAACAGCGAGCAGCCCCCCGTTAGCAAGTGGCCTGGTCTCTGCCAAGTCACTCTCGAGCCCCACTTGGTCCCCTGCGAAGTGGGAGTGGAGGAGGGGTCCTCATCAGGTGCGGTACATGTGACCTGAGAAGGCACTTCCAGTATCTGGCATGTCATGGGCCTCAGTCAATGTCAGGGGGACGATTTTTTCCTGGGCCCCTGGGGTGAGGGGAAGAAGAGGAGCGCAGCCCTCCGGAGTCTTCCTTCCCCACCCCCAGTAGACCTTGTCTTGTCTTGCTTTTAGGTGATGACAGAGGGTGGCCACAGCAAGGGGTTTGGCTTTGTGTGTTTTTCCTCTCCAGAAGAGGCGACCAAGGCCGTGACCGAGATGAACGGGCGCATCGTGGGCACCAAGCCGCTGTACGTGGCACTGGCCCAGCGCAAAGAGGAGCGGAAAGCCATCCTCACCAACCAGTACATGCAGCGTCTCTCCACGGTGCGGGCCCTGGGTGGCCCCCTCCTGGGCTCCTTCCAGCAGCCCGCCAGCTACTTCCTGCCTGCCATGCCCCAGGTGACGACCTGCCCGAACCCCTTCCCTGACAGCCAGGTACAGCAGGAGGGCAGCTTCCCAGCTAGATGTGGGCTGTCCATGTGTTTCTGCTGGAAACTCGGCAGGCAGGCCGTTCTAACCCCATCTGTGAGGGGCGGGTAAGCGTGCTGCTGTCCCGCCGTTCTTCCCACCCAGGGAGAGGTTTGGGTTCGGCTCAAAGAGGCTCTCTCTGGGCAACTAAGTTTGAGAAACAATGCATTAAATAGAAGAGACCTAGCCTTCTATGCTGTATGACCCTGTTCTATACACCTTACTCTCCCCTACTTAGCCTTTCCCCAGCTTAGCCTGTCCTGTCTCCCGGGCCGCCCGCCAGCCTCTCTGCTGGAGGTGTGTGCGAAGGAGGGAGCTCACGGGACTTACAGGAAGTGGAAATGTGATGGCCGTTAACAGCTACCAGGATGACATTCCAGCTCCTTGTAGCAGTAGGTTTGGCTGGCACAGGTCCGAGTGGGTGTGTGACCATCTCATGCCACCCTTTGGGCTACCAGCTCTGATCAGGGGCAAGGAGCGAAACTGACACCTTGTCCCGGAGGGTTCAGGGCTCACGGACAGCCTGAGCTGGGCAGCAGAGACATCGTCCCAGCTCGTGACACCTCACTAGCCAGTCCCTGGATGGGGGCAGTGAAGTTCCTACAGGGGTGTCTGGGAGGGGATGTGGTTTCTCCCCTGCTGCTAACCCCTGACTGCCAGGCTTCTCCCTCACAGCCTCCAGCCCAGGCTGCGTACTACGCCTCTGGCCCCCCCATGCAGCCCTCCCCCAGGTGGACAGCCCAGCCTCCGAGACCGTCCTGTGAGTGATTCAGCCCCTGGTACCCTCAGCCAGGCCCGCAGGGTTGGGCCCTGTAAGGCAGTGTGGAACCCGGGGCTACAAACACAGGCTTTGGGGGCAAGCCTGGCTCTGCTACTCCCCCGGGTATTAATTCAGTGGGTAATTCACTTCTAGTTTCCTCTTCTGAACGAGGCCTATATAAAGCACCATGCAGTGCTGAACTTGTAAATGACTTATGGGTGTAGCCATCCTCTTCAATTAGCTCCCAAGGACGGTCTGATTTGGGGCCGTCACAGTTAACTCCTGGGGCTGTGTGGCTGATGGATGGCCCCTCCCTAGGAGGAGAGCTCACCCTGATTCGACAGTGTCTTGGGGGCCCTGTGGGTGTGATCATGATGGCTATGCCTCCTGGGGCCGCTGGGGCCTCCGGATAGAAACAAGTTGGCTTTGTCATTGGAGATTTCCACACACACCCCTCCCCCAGAGTTCTGGGTCTGCCTGACTCAGTGAATTCACTCATCCTTTTGCTGAGAATGTTCTGGTTCCCCCTTCCCATTCCCTTCCTCACCCTGGAATCTTCAGGGTGCAGTGGGCCACTCGGAGTGTCCTGCCCCGCCAACCTTTCTCTCCATGTTTTCTGTGCCACAAGCCATCTACCCTCCAGGTGCCTCTGTGGTCCGGCCACCAGCCATGTTGCGGCGCCCCCCGGCCCAGGTTGGCGGTGTCAGGCAGGCCTCTACCCAGGTGCCGCCCCTGGTGCCCCACGCCCAAAGAGTGGGTGAGTGTGGGCTGGGCCAATAGGAATGGAAGTGTGTGGAGGGCGGGGCAGGGGCTTGGTGCCAGGTTGGCACAGGTGGGGAGTCAGCACTGGCCTCCACGGCAACCTTGGCTGTGACACTGCCCTCTCCGAGAGTAGAGCTGACTTTGGAGGCTGTGTGGCATAGGAGTTCGCGTGGGCCTTAGAATCCCACAGACCCAGGTCTCTGGCCTTGCTCGCTCTGGTCACCACCTCTTTAAAATAGGGATGAAAATAGCCTTCCTGTTTGGTCGCATGGGACAATGAGATCACACATGCCAGGGCTTAGCCTCGGATCAGAACCTTAGCGAGCATTCAGCAGCCATGAACAAGGTTGTAGATGTGGGCTGTAAGGCGAGCCCCTCCGTTCCTTCATTCGGCAAATGTGTGTATATCTAAGTGGCAGCCTCCTGGTGGGCACAGGGCTACTACATGAATGTGTGTCTTTAGGCTTTGTGGCTTTAGATGGCTGTGAGGGCCTAACGCACCTGCTTATTCCTCACAGCCCACATTGGTACCCAGACCACAGGAGCCGGCGGGGCCGGATATTCTACCCCAAGCGGGCCTCTCCTGACACACAAATACTCCACAGCAACACACAACCCTGGGGTAAGGCTGGCCTGACTGCTCTCTTAGTCAGGGCTCCAGGGGGGTTGGCTCAGAACCTCGGCTAAGGCATTGGAGGCATTGGCCCTCTCTGGGCCTTGTTTTTTTGTTTTTTTGTTTTTCTTTTCTTGAATTGTGAATTTTCATTTGCTAATGTGTACAATCAAGAAACACTCCCCCTGGGGTACCTGGGTGGCTCGGTAGGTTGAGGGGCGCCTGGGTGGCTCAGTAAGTTGAAGCCTCCGCCTTCGGCTCAGGTCATGGTCTCAGGACCTTAAGGATCAAGCCCTGCATCGGGCTCTCTGCTCAGCGGGGAACCTGCTTCCTCCTCTCTCTCTGCCTGCCTCTCTGCCTACTTGTGATCTCTGTCTATCAAATAAATAAATAAATAAATAATCTTAAAAAAAAAAAAAAACACTCCCCCTTACTAACAGAAGGAGGAAAAGGTCCAAGGTCACATTTGGTTTATTAATTATTTATTAATTATTTATTATTATTTGGTTTATTATTTGCTCTGCCTGGGTTATTAGCCACATTAACCTGGATTTCATTAATATTCAGTGTGGAGCAACAAGGAAAGCTTTTCTAGAAATGGGATGTGATTAATCTACAGTATAACTGAATATATCTATTGTCATTGACTTAAAGAGCTGTGTATTTATCTCCCTGCCCAAGTCCCAGACTTGGCATTAGCCTATCCTGTCTAGAATTTCAGTGTGTAGATTTCAAAGTCTTTCTTGCCAAACGAACAGGTGTACTCTTTAAGTGGCAGAATGCTTTCAAAGTTACCATGGTGTGGGAGGGTCAGGCGTATGCTGGGGATGTGGCTATAAAGCTGGGTGATAGTAAGTGTGTTATTTGGCACAAAGTGAATAGTCACGCTTTCCTTTAGCAACATTGAGGCGGGGGACTTCACAGGTTCCTGGCACCGTCTAAGGCATCCGAATTAGGGTGTGTCTGGCCCACTGTGCCCTTGTTAGGGATGCTATCCCACCCAATGGTCCCTACTTTGCCACTTGCCCCCCTCTTCCAGAGCATTCCTGGAGGCCTGTGCTTCCAACAGGGTAAGTGTCATGAGGTCTTGTGATCTGCGGTGGTTAAGGGACGTGTCCCCGGCACTGTGTTCAGGTGGAGGAGCCCGCTGTGTGCATCCCGGGACAGGAGCCCCTGACGGCGTCCATGCTGGCTGCAGCGCCGCTACATGAGCAAAAGCAGATGATTGGTGAGTGGCTGGTCCCCCTACCCTGGAGGGGAAGCAGCGGCCGAGGGGTGGCCAGCCTGTTGGGAAAAGCCCTGAATGGAGGTCAGACGTGTAGACAAGGTCCAGCGTTGCTGCAGACCCACCTGCTGGGTGTCCTTGCTCAGGTTGCCTCTGTTCTCTCAGCTTCCCCGCTCTCTGGTCTCAAAACACTGGTCCGGGTTTCTTCAGCACCAGGCCCACGACGGGCTGGAGAGGGGCCAGGAGCCCCAGGGTATGGTCTTGGGTTTCTGCTGGTGGGTGTCACAGCGCCTCACCTCTCCTGAATGGGAAGAGGCTGTCCCCACATGTCCAGCTCCCAGTGACCACTGCGGGGAGGTGGGAATTAAGTGTGCATGGGGCAAACACCTGTTCCCTGCTGGGCTGTGAGTTCCCTGTGCAGATCGTCCCCAGCCCACTGTCTGTGACAAGCCCTGCTAAAGGATGCCACTCGCTGTTGAACGAATGACCAGCTTGCTATTTACTGGGTGTTAGGTTCTTTCCTCCGTGGCCACCAAAATGTCCAGACCCTCTCTGAAGGCCCCCTTTGCCACCACCCTGTTGTTTGCTCAGCTCACCTGGGGATCTGCCACTTCCCACTGGTCAAAGGAAATCCTCCACGGGCTTCATGGAGGCAGGAAGCTGTTAGCCGTTCCCTGTAAACCTCTCCCACCCCAGCACCCTAGCACCGCAGCACCCCAGTCTGGCCAGACCGTCCACGTATTGCTGAGGGGGTGCCTCACCACCAGTGCTGGGTCCTGTCACTAGGAGTGCCTGATGGTGGAAGGTGAATTTATCTTGCGCATGTGGCTCCCCCTGCACCCCCAAAAGTCCAGTCCAGCATTAGCATATCTTGTCTAGGATTTCAGTGTGTATACGGGAACTATTTCTTGCAAGATGAACAAGAGTAGTCTTTAAAGCCCAAGTCTGTGTCCAACCCTGTGTAGATGACTTCACCTAGAATATCAAATTTGATTCTTCAAATTAGCCTCTGAAGCAGGGTTTGCTCCGCATACTTTACAGTTGGGAAAGAGGCTCCCAGTGGAGCTAAGGGACGGGATGAGCCCCCAGATGCCTCACTGCTCTGTTCCACAGTACCCATGCCTCCCCCGCACCCCCCGCTCTTGGGCTGCTGGGATATCAGCCAGCTGTTCTGTACAGGTGAGCGTCTGTACCCCCTTATCTACGATACCCACACCCAGCTGGCCGGCAAGATCACGGGCATGCTACTGGAGATCGACAACTCGGAGCTGCTGCTCATGCTGGAGTCCCCAGAGTCCCTCAATGCCAAGGTGGTCTGGGCCCTGGGTGGCAGGAGGAGAGCTTATGACAAAGACTTCTAGAAGAGCTAGCTACCAGGTGGTGGCTGGGACGGTTTCCCTTTCTGCTACTGCCAGCTTGCACTTGCTGAATCTTTGAGCAGGCAGAGAAAAGGGCTTAAGCGTTTGCTATTCCAGCCCTTCCACATTAATTCTCTGCAGCTCCATGTGCAAGGTCTTGCAAGGTCTTGGTACAGAGAGCAGTGTTCTGACAGAGTCTAGGGTCACACACCTGTCTTGAGAAGGTGACCGTGGGTTTCCGCTTGCAAGCCCCAATGCTATGGAAGGAGGGGACTTCCAGTACCTAGCATGCTTAGGCACTGGGAGGCCAGGGCTCTCCCAGGACCCCGCTGGGCAGCTGCACTAACTGCCACCCCCCCGCTCGTGTCCCATAGGTGGAAGAGGCCTTGGCAGTGCTGCAGGCACACCAGGCCACAGAGCTGACGACTGTGAATGTGCTCTGAGACCAGGTGGGTAGCTGGGGGTGGGACAGATGGAGACAGAAGCAGCTGAGCCCAAGAGAAGCTGGGAAAAACCAGTCAGGGATTGACTTGAAGAAGCTGTGTGGCTGGCTTTCTCTGAGGCACCAAGGAGTTTGGGGAAAGCTGTGATGATCAAAGGAAGAGGACAGACGGTGTGATATGAATGTTGACCACTGGGCAAAAAGTACAGATGTCCTCTTGCCCGCTGTCCTGCCTGGCCTCCCTGGGAAGAGGCAGGGCTGCCCCTGGCATTGCCTGGCTTCACGCTCCTTGCTGGAAGGCCTGGCTTGGCCGGCTACCTTCTTAGTTGAAGGCCGGGAGTCTGCCAAATGTGAGAAACATTTATTCCTATCCTTTCATCCCCAGAAAATGGAATCCTCCCTCCCCTGGCTGACAACAGAATGGCGTTTCCTGTTCTTGGCTCTCCGTCTCAGTGAACCATAACTTCTTTCCCCCTGGGGCTGTATGGGTACTTGAGCTCTGTATGTGGAATGAAGGCTGGACACCCCGCCAGCCTATCACTTTTTGCTTTGTGCATTAAAAGTGCTGCAAACTCTGTTTGTCTAGAATAATGTTACACAATCCCTCAGTTAGCGGGAGGCCAGCGGCAGTTGGTGCTTTGGGAGAGGGGGGATACCTGCACTGCCGGGCACTCAGCCAGGTATCCGGAAACCTCCATGTGCATCAGACGTGGGCACCTGCAGCTTGAATTCCTTGTCTCGGTGCTGTGTGAGGGCCGCTGCTGGGTGCGCTTTGGGGCGCTTCCAGATGGTCCTGCTCTGCCCCTTCTCTGGTGTACACACCTTCTCCTCCAGCACTTCGGGTGTCTGCTCCTTCCAGCCAATCCCAGCCCAGTCAAGCTCCCACCCTTTGCTCTGCCCCACCTCCCTCAGGCACAAGGAGGCCTCCTGTGCCGTCTGGGCACATTATCATTATCACATACCATTATTCTAGAAAAAGCCCCCACAGAATTGCTTTTAGATACCTTCCCAAGTCCTGATTTTATCTTCTGTGTGTCCATTAGTAAACCAAGGTGCTTGCCTTCTAGACCTTGAGAAGAAAAAGTCAGTCAATTGTGAGGGGATGTTACCACTAAACCTGCCTCCCATCAGTTAAGAGTCTTGCCTGAGAGGTGACAATAAAAGGGGCACAGCTCCCCGCTCTGGCCCCTTGGCCATGCGGCACATGGGTCTGTGACCCCTAGAATCTGCTTAGTTCAGAGGGCTGTGGTAGCTCACAGAGCAGAAGCTCCTCCTTCAGAGCTCAGAAGCAGTGTGCTACCCTCTGAATGGCGCTCAGCACTCCTGTGACAGGAGCAAAGGGATAATGGATTCCCTCTGTTCTTAGGGTCCTCAGACTGCGTGCTGCTCCATTAAGGGGAAAACACATTGGGCGCCTGGGTGGCTCGGTCGGTTAAGAGTTTGCCTTCAGCTCAGATCATGATCCAGGATCCTGAGATCGAGTCTCATGTCAGGCTCCCTGCTCTGTGGGGAGTCTTCTTCTCTCTCTGCCCTTCCTCCCACTTGTTCTCTCAAAATCTTAAAAAAAAAAAGGGGGGGGGGGACAATTTGACTAGGACACAGACCAGGAAAGTACTTTCTGGGCTCCATCCTCGCCCTCTCCTCCCAGCTGGGGCCTATACAAACGTCTGTGGTGTCTGCTTGGCCTGCCTTACTGCTCTCCTCACCAGTTAAACTCCCACGTTAGAACTCAGTGCAAGCTTTACTTCCTCAGGGACCCCTTTCCCTCCCCAGGGTCAGGCGGGGCAAGCGCTGTGTGATGGCTCTAGAGCGCTTGCCTGGCTGCGGTTTGTTCCGGGGTTGTCTGGTGACCACCGTCCCTGCCCACCAGGGCCTCAGCCCTCTGCGAGCAGGGACATGGCTGGTCACCGATCTTCCCAGCACTGTACACAGAGCCTAACCCGTGCAGACACTCCAGGAAGTCTGTTCAACGAGTGTGCAAATGCTCAACACACTGTAGCTCTTTATTACTGCAAAGGTGCAGGCACAAAGCTGAAAAAGCACAAACATGAATACAGTAGGCATCTATGTACCAGAAAGATGTTTAATGCAATAGCTTGAATACACAGTTCAACAAAATCAGTAGTTTAGTTCAAATTAACTTCACGTTACAAAGAACCTAGAAGCTTGGAGGGGGGGCCACTGTTGAGGTCAAAAGAAGTCCCTGCCCAGAGTGGAAGGACACGGACTTCAAGAAGGCCTTTCTCTCCATCCCACCTTCAGGAGCGGCCACACCTCCGGACTCTTAAAACCACTTGGGCACCTCCCCGCAGGAGGCTGCGGCGCAGAGCTATGGACAAGGCCATCAGAGGGTCAGGATTCCGCGTCCTCACCAAAGCAGGGCCCAGCCAAAAGGCACTGGAGCTCAGAACACAGGGAACTCTGCCCGGGACAGGGCGGGGACGGCAGCCCTGGAGAACCAGCTCAACAGGCTGCTCTGGGTTCTAGTTTATCCCTCATGCCCCCCTAGCCCCCCAACCCCCGAGCTCAGTTTGCTCAGATGAACCACAGTGAGATGGGTCTGGTGCAGCTAGAAGGGCAGCCGTGGGGAGCACAGCTGGGGCAGGGACAGAGCCAAGTGCTCTGCCAACTGTCCGAGGCAGGCGGGGAGTAGGGACCGTTCCAGCAAAACAACATCTGGGGATTGTTTTTTTGTTTTACTACTCTGAGCTTAATTTGAACAAGCAAAGCCTCTTAAGGGGCGGGAAGCCGTCACCTCTGAGTCACATCCGAGCTCACTTGGGGATATGCTGGGTCCCCAGAGCAGGCCTGGAGGAGGGAGCTCGGGCAGAGGTTTCCCGCTAACCTTCTGGGTCTTTAGTTTAAGCTCTGGTTAACTTCCTGCTGCAACTTCTGGGCAGGGCCGTTTCTCGGCTCAAGCTGCAGAAGACTGTTGATGTCTTCAAAGCTGGATTTGTAGTCCTGAGAGGAGAGAGAAGGGGGCGAGGACGGAGGCCCGACCGAGGCGGGCTGGAGCGGCCAGGGTGGAGGGTCTTGAACCCCAGCCTCAGGGCCTGCCCGGAGCCACCAGGGCTTCCCTGGATGGGGAGGGACGTGGCCCACCCCCCCTCGCCCAGCCTACGCTCTGGAAGGGCCACCCCAGGCACTGGTGCCTCAGTGGGTGCCTTTCATTCAGGCTTTTCTTACCTTGAGTGCCTTGTAGGCTTGCGCTCGTCTGTAGAACGCCTTCACGTTCTTTCCATCCAGCCTGAGGGCTTCTGTGCAGTCCCTTACTGCTTCCTTGTACTGCTTCAGGGCCAAATGGCAGAGCGCTCTGATGGGAAAGGCCGACGGAGGTCTCAGCCCCTGCTTAGCCCCCCCACCCCAGCCGTGTGGTGGTCAGAGGGGTGATCTTGGAGTTGACAAACGGCGCTCTGAGCTGGTGGTCGCACACCCTCCTCACCCTTGGGGGGAGGCTGGCCCCTCTCCATAGCGGGAACCCGCGGGTGCAGCGCGGGGTGGGATGGGGGGAGAGGTGCCCCTTGGGAGCCCGGCTTGCGGCACTCCGCATCCTGACCGTGTGGCTCCATCCCTCAGGCCACCTCACACTCCCAGCCTGATATCTTTTGCTCCTGAAACCTCCCCCTTGATGGATTAAAGAGTCATCCAGGGTACCGGACCGTGAGGATGCGCACGTGGGCATGTTAGCGGGAAGGTGGAAGAGGCCTGCGGCTCACGCTGAAATGTGCCCAAACTAAGAGGCGCCGGTCAACGGCTCCATAGCGATAGGGGCAAACGGAGCAAAGTGTTAATGGGGAATTTAGATGGTAGGTGATTCAATGCACAATTCTTTCAACTTATAGTGTGAGAATTTTCATAATCATGGGAAAAAAACAGCTACAGAAACCCATATGACAAAATGTTCTGCATCTACGGGCAGAAAGTCTGTACACCTTCCCCCTTCTTTTCTCCAAAGATGGCCGCTAAGAACAGGTGTGTTGGCGCTCCCTCTGGGCCTCCATCCATCCATCCCCAGCATCTCCAGTGGGAGCAGTATTCACTTGGTTGGATGAACCATAACTTATTTTACCAATTCCTTATCTGGGGACAGTTTTCATTGCTTCCAGTCTGTAAACACAAGACACTGCCATCAGTGTCCTTGTGCATAAAACTCAGAGGCCTGCTGGGAGGGATCGTGGGTCAGTGGATACGGGCACTTATAATCTTTTTTTTTTTTAAAGATTTTATTTATTTATTTGACAGACAGAGATTACAAGTAGGCAGAGAGGCAGGCAGAGAGAGAGGGGGAAGCAGGCTCCCCGCCGAGCAGAGAGCTTGATGTGGGGCTCCATCCCAGGACCCTGAGATCATGATCCAAGCTGAAGGCAGAGGCTTAACCCACTGAGCCACCCAGGTGCCCCCCGGGCACTTAAAATCTTGACTGTTGTTGCCAAAATGCTCTGCAAAGGAGCTGCTCTCTGAGGCACCATCAATAACTTTCTATTTTCCTGTAACTGTACCAACCCTGGGTGTCAATCTTTAATTTCAATCAATAATGGAAGAAAACAAGATCCGTTTTAATGTAATTGCTCAGTATCTTTACATAAGGGTTTTTAACCTTATGAAGTCGAATTTACTTTTCCTTTAATGACCGCTCTGGTCCCTGTCCCCCACACCACAACAATTCCATTTTAATACTTTTCCCACTGCAAGATAATTAATCCGTGCATTCTCCTAGAACTTAATAGTTTTACTTTCCACATTTGAAACTGTGATCCACTTAGAATTTCTTTTAAAATATGGAGTGAGATAGGGATTCAGGTTTATTTTTAATTTTAAATGAGACTCTTCTGAAGGTCCATTCAGGGCAAGCTGTACGTGCGGGGCACCCGAGTGATATCAACTGCACAGAGAGAACGGGAGGAAGCCAAAGGCGATGCCCCGGTGCGCAGAGCTTCAGACACACAAGGCAGGGCATTTCAGTGGCATCCAGGATGTATAATTTCAGCCACAATGGAGGGAAAATTCAGTTTTGTGTCAAGTTATCAGTCCTCGAAATTAAATTTATAAATTCAGGGGCGCCTGGGTGGCTCAGTGGGTTAAAGCCTCTGCCTTTGGCTCAGGTCATGATCTCAGGGTCCTAGGATTGAGCCCCGAGTCGGGCTCTCTGCTCAGCAGGGAGCCTGTTTCCCCCTCTCTCTCTGCCTGCCTCTCGGCCTGTCAAATAAATAAATAATAAAAGTCTTCCAAAAAAATTTATAAATTCAATGTAACCACAACTAAAAGCCCACCAAGATACTTTTTGGAGTCTGTCAAAAAGAATCCTACTAGAAGGACAAAGCTAGAAGAACAAACCTGGGAAAAGAGCCAGTGATGCTCTGATTAAGAACAAGGAGAAAACCACCCCTACAAGAGAGTATAAAGCACTAATAATTAAAACAGTGTGGCACAAACACACTTGCGTGAAAAACCGTATTGAAACAAAACAAAGCATTGTCTTGAATACAGTAAAAATTCAGGAAACTAGACTATTAGAGGTCTCTCGCAGTATGAGACAAGTGAGTCCAGCAGGCCCAGGGATGGGGTTATCAAAATGCTGCTGCAGAAACCCAGAACAGATGGGCAGCAGCGCTTCCTTCCGGTGAGCCTGACAGACTGAGGGACCCCTGGTCTAATCAGCCAGTAAAACCACAGGTTCCAAATGCCAAAATCCACACTTTAAAATGAAAAGTTCTCTCTTGAACTTATTTGACAGCAAAACCTGACCCGCACAGGCCCGCGGTTACTTAGTCTGGAACACTGCCCCACATGAACATGGACTGTCCCTGTGTTTCAGGCAGAAATGCTAACGGTGAACTTCAGCCACTGCCCCAGAGCCTGTGGGAGTATTATGTGGTCCCATGTATGAACCATATGACCTTACTCAGATCTGGAACACATTTTTATCCCAAGAATTTTGCATAGGGAATGGCGAGACTGTAGTAAATCCAAGATTTTTTAACTAAAGAGTAATAGTATGTGTATGTTAGCAGGGCGGGAGAAACAATTGATAACATTTTTATAGTAAATCTTTTATAAGCAAGATTTGGCTCAGAGATGGTCCCTCGGTGAGTGTTCCAAGCTTCTGACAGTAAAACTAGTAGATCTCATCGGAGCCAGGTTGCAAGTCTGTCTCCACCATTTACTGGCCAGGTGAGCGGAGGTGAAGATGTTCCAGCTCTGAGCTTCTGATTTCTTGACTTGCAAAGGGGAAGGCCACTGACCACCAGTACGCCTGAGTGTGTGTAAAACCATGATTCCCACCCAGTAAAAGGACAGTGCCCCCCCACCCCCCTACCCCGTCGGTAGAAAGAACCAGCAGCCATGGCCGCAGCCCGTGGTGCGGGTTGTTCAACTGGGCCGCAGGTCACACCCTTCAGGCTAGGCGGGACCATCTCTCTTGCTCCCAGGCCAGGTGACAGGGAGTCCACACCCTGAGTTCTGTCCCTGTGCTGAGACAGGGCCAACCCACCCGACCGGAGGGTCTGGGGAAGCCGTGGGGCTAGGCCAGGGGGAGGGCTACGAGACAGGTGCGGAGGCCATGTTTGGGTGGCAAGCACACTGCTCTCACTCACGGAGTGTGCACAGCTGGACGGTTCACGAAAGCCTGAAGAGGAGGGAGGGGGAGAGAGCCCAGGCCCCATGGGGGCATCGCTCAGTTTCTATTCCTTTAAGAGAGAGAATGCCACCGGCCACACTTGCCTCCCAGTGATGAAAACCACCAAGTACGCCTACTCTGAGGTGCGACACACCGAGTCAACGAGAGGAGTGAAGAGGCCACCCCAGTCCGCAAGCAGACTTGGGGGGCGACAGCCAGCGTCCCACAAGCCCCCAGGGCAGCAGCTGCATGGAATATACCTGTTGCTGTACGTGGCAGACTCCATGTCACTAAAGGACAGGCTTTCACTGTACTTCTCAATAGCTTTCTTATGGTTCCCCTTCTTTACAAGCTCATTGCCTTCTTCCTTCAGAATTCTGGCTCTCTCCACATCCCCAGCAGAAGACACTAGATGCAAATTCAGAAGAGGAAAGAGCCATGGAGCAGGTGCCTGAGGGCCATGAGGCCTCACTGTCAGCGACCCTCTCCCGCGCCCCCTCCCCAGACTCCCTACACTGCTCTAAAGCAGCGTCCCCAAGGAAGGAGTCCCCCACGTGGCTTCTGGGAAATTAAACAGGTTCTCAGTCGGAGGCTGGGGACTCCCGACGGAAACACACAGAGACACACACGTCAGACAGATAAGCGGTAAAGGGCATGCTGAGGTCTAGTCCCCGCAGTGGCCCTCAGTAGCCGGGGACCTCGGGTGACCTGCCTAGTCTTGGGGACCTCAGTTCCTCTGTATACTGGGGCACTAGCAACCCGACCCGGGGCCAGTGTCAGGATAAAACCTGAGTGCGCCACAAAGTGCAGAACACCCGATCAACTTAAAGCAGGAGAGGAAGTAAGTATTTAAATAAGCATCTGAGAAAGAAAGGGTGTCGCTCCCCAGATCTCTGAAGACGGCCGAGGAGCCCTCTGTGTTGTTCTGAGCCTGGACCTTCCCTCACCTGCCCCACGCAGCTCGGCCTCAGCGCAGACGGACAGACACACGAGGCGAAACCCGGGCTGCTGGCCTGGCCCTCGGCCCTTCACTGCGCAGCCGCAACCACGCTCCAGCCCCAGCTCCCAGATCACCGGGTTTCTTTAATTTTTAAAAACTATCTTTATAAAATCCTGAATCTTTATGACATCAGTAAGGTTTTAGGAACAAAACTAACACCCTTACACTCATCCCTCACCTTCAGAAATGGAACATTTACTGAGACCTTTAAAGCCCCATGGGGGCCCCCTCCCCAAATCAACCCACCCCTGGAGGAAACCATGATCCCCAAGCCTGTGCTTTCTTCCCCCTTTCTTCCTTGGTAGCTTAACTCTATACGATAATTCCTATAAACCATTTGCCATTTTTTTTTTTAAATTTCATATAAAAGAATAAATGATTCTAAGTATTCCTATTCCTCTGTGACTTGACTTTACTCCTTCCCCTCGGCACTGTGCTCCTCAGACTCTGCTGTACTGCCGCGTATCCCTGTAGCTCGCGCTCAGTGCTCATTCATCCCTTCTGCTTGGAGATCTGCACCGTTTCCAGTTCTGTTGTCTGCGGTTGCAACATCCTGCTGTGAACCTTCCTGCCCTCTCCTGGGCGGGCTGCCGCATCCATATCCCTTCGGTTTTCCTCACGCTCCCCAACTCCACACAGCAGGCCTGGGGCCTCCCGCGGCTCCCCAGTGAGAACCACGCACTGCATTCTCTAGCTCTTTCTACTGACTCTGTCAGACATTCCCTTCCCTTCCCCACCTGAAGAACACCCCCCTCAGTCCCCCTCAGCATCCAGCTCCACTGGTCACCTCCTCCGGGAGGCTTTCCCTGACTCCTCCAAGCGCACAGGTGTCAGTTCCTGTCTCGAACTCCCCAAATACTAAAGGCTCTAAAGCACGTGTCCTTCCTCCCGTATTTGGAAATGCTGTTTAGGTGTCTCCGTCTCTTTTTATACTGAGGGCTTCCGACGGCCAAGACTGCCTGTCCTCTCTGTGTCACGCTGGAAATACATGGCACAGAGCTGGAAAATATATGGGCCAGTGACTCTGAAAGAATGAAATACTTAGTAGGCGCCCTGAAGCCATCGAGTTCGTTAGCACCCCACATTTCCATTCTGGAGAAGAGTGAGGGACACTTAGCAGGTTCCCACAAACCAGAGTGAATGCTACCCACGGCCAGATCCATTCCCTCATTCCCTTGAGGGCAGGGGAGTGACCCCGCCCTGCACTGCCGCCAGAGCGAGCCTGGAGCGCTCACCCACTGCACCTGCTCTCCTCAATGCCTAGACTCACTGGGCCCAGCTCATTCCCTGGGGCACCGCTGAACCGTGGCCTGAAGAATGGCCCCTCTATTTTACATGGTTGAGGTTGACAGTCTCCCGTTTTGGGGCTCCCTGGCTTTGACCTCCCCTCCCTATTCCACCTCCAGGGCCCCGTGTGGTGTGTGTACTCCTGGGGAAGCGGCACCCTCTCACTATGAAGGTGGAGGCGATGGCTTAGGGCCACAAAATCCCCCTGGCCCCAGTGATCAGTTCCTAGAGAATGGCCTGTGACCAAACAGGCCAGAATACACTGAGACAGTGTATTTAAAGGGATTTAAAGGAAAGAAACCCTCTCTTAGGGAGCTCTCAGAAGAAAACCACCTTTTTCTCTTCCTCTGGGCCACAAGGCATGGCATATTGTGGACGAGGCCAGGAACTACTTTATGGCTATTTTACCCCTGGGAGGGAAGACTGCCCCAGGACAAAGCAGACACACCAAAGAAGAGAGCTGAGACGAGTACCAAGGAATGGAGTCTGAGTCTGCTAATGTCGTGAGCTCCTGGAGCAAACCTAGCCTGAATCTGAACTCGTAACTTTCAGTTACATGAGCCGTTATGTTCTCTTTGTTATTTTTACCACATTGAGTTTTCTGTTCTTGCCACCAAAAACATCCTGGATCATCCATCCCTAGCGCAGCCAGAGGAAAGAGGAGGGAACTAACGCTGTATACCTATGCGCCAGACTGAGTGTCCAACGTGCCTTTTCGGGCTTTCTCATTGCCTTCAGGATTGAACTGAGAAGACAGTCTCTAAAAGGTAAAGACTTTTTGTTTCCTGGATAACTTTTATAGCTTGGCTTTAAGCAAGGTCAGGTTTTACAGGATTACTCTGAAGGTGGTGGCCAAGGGGAGATTGTAACACTCTGGGCAGGAAGTCACAGCTTACCTCTGCCCTTGGCGGTTGTGGCTTCTCTGAATTTGCCCTTAGTGTTCTCTTTGTGGTACTCCAAAGGTGAGGAATCCCACCTCTTCTGAGCTGTGACAGGCACCAAGGGGATAGAGGGCAGCTTCAGGCGCCACTCAGGCCCCAGCAAGTCCATGAGAGCTCTGGTCATTCTGGAAAGGCAGAGAAAATTACAAGGAGGTTTCTGACTGGGTCAAGAAGATACCCCTCCTCTCAGAAATCCAGAGGGGGTGTGTGAGAGCCACCATCCTTTTACAGCCTTGTGACACACAGCAGGAAGGGGACACAAGTCTGCACCATGACACGTCCACCCTGCCTGGCCCAGACTTGGCCACACTCTGTTAACCTCAAAGCAGTGACAGCTGCTTGTTAAGGGTGCTCAAACCTGGGGCACCTGGGTGGCTCAGTGGGTTAAGTTTCTGCCTTCGGCTCAGGTCATGATCTCAGAGTCCCCGGATTGAAGCCCACATTGGGTTCTCTGCTCAGCAGGGAGCCTGCTTCCCTCTTCCCCTCTGTCTGCCTCTCTGCCTACTTGTGATCGCTCTGTGTCAAATAAATAAAATCTTAAAAAAAAAAAAAAGTACGCTTATTAAAAAAAAAAAGGGTACTCAAACCTCACCCCCGAAGGACCACACACGCCCCCAAGAAAGGATCACGTCTTATATTTTGTCAGTGGATCTATTACAAGGCCATGCAAGCACCTGATGCGTGACTAATGCTCAGAGATTTTTATAAAATACAAATCTTAGGTTATTCTCAAATTTTGAAATCCTCTAACGCCTCCCACGTCCCTAGGCTGACAGGGCCTGAGATCTGGTCCCCTGCTCCTCCCCACTTCTACCGTGTGCCGCATTCCCTCTTGATCCAGCTGTTAGAGCCTCTGCCCACGCTTTTCCCTCCACCTGGAATGATGTCTTCACTTTCCATCCCCCACCCCCTTCTGGGCCCAGCTAACTTCCTTCAGATGCTGCTCAGGGATCACGTCCCTTTGGTTAAGAGATCTCCAGCCCGTAGCACATCACACGACACCCACCCAGGCCCTGTAATCATGTGCTTCATCAGTGAATAAAGCCAACCGTATGCTTTCTCTGCTCCAACAACTGTGCTCCCATGTGACTAGAAGGACGGTGTCCCAGACGGCAATCACTACAAACTCACGGTCTCTAAGGCCTCCAGCTGTCTTCCTGACTAGCACAGCTATGTCGAACCTCTACCCTCCTCAGCCCGGCTCCCTTACCCTCCCCTCCTTTTTCAGGGCAAAGTTCCAGGTCTCACTAACGCAAACCCACCTGCGTGGGCACTGAATCCTTCCTAGTTCTCTCCTGTCACACGTGAAGAAGTGACAAGGCCAGGCACTCCACCTCAGCTCTGGGTCTCACCTCGCCCTGCCCCCATCAGGAACCACAGCCAGCAGCTCTCCTCTAGCGTCGTCCTCTCTCTCCACCGACTCTAAGTGGCCACATTTCACTGTTTCCTCACTTTCGCCTCCTGGAGACCCCACCCTGCCATTTCAGCTGGACTCCTCTGCCTCTTCACGGCCGGGCTTCTTGAACCCACTGCCATGCAGGCTTCTGACCTGCCGCATGCTTCCATATAACCACAGCCACTCTCCTTCTTAAACCCACAAGTCCACTTCACTCATTGGAACACCTGATGGGAATGAGGTTTTCATCCTTCTGGAAATACTTCTTCCCTAAGTGCTCTGAGTTTCCTCCTCCCCTGCAGTTGCCGTCTCCCTGAAGTCCCTCAAATGTTGCAATTTTCAAAACGCAATCCTCTTCCCCGGGCTCACTTGCTGTGGGGGTCTCTTTTTCTCCCACAACCTCAACCCACCTCTATGCTGATGACCTCGAATCCATAGTCTGCCTTATATTTGTCTCTTTTGCTCCAAAACCCATGTAGATACCAACCACTGTCCTCACACCTCTCATCTCACGGTCCCCTGCGACTTACCGTGTCACCCACCAGGATGTTTCTTCTATTCTTCCCTTCTCACTAACGCCAACATCCAAATTCACTGAACTACTACCTAAATGTCCCCAAAACTGGTCCCACTGTCCTCCTTCCGCTATCTCCACCATCTGAGCTACCGCCTAACCCTTCTGACTCTGCTCTCCTTCACGTCATCCAGCAACACGGGAGCCAGTGAGCTTTTTCTCTCAAATCTGCTCAAGTTGCTCCCTTGCTCAAGACCCTTTCACAAAACCTCACTGTGCCTGGATTAGGTCCAGGCTCACCTCACACGTCCGAGCTGAGCTCCTTACCAGCAGTGCTAAGTGACATGGGACTTCTCACAATTCCTAGAACACATCATCCTGGCTCACCCTGGCAGTTGCCCTTCCTGCTGCCCTGGCCCCAGATCTCTTCGTTTCTCAGCCTCAGCTCACCTCCTCTCCAAAATCCTGACTGGCTTCCTCCTTCCCCCAGGGAAGGTTAGGTGCCCCTTTCTGTCCCCTCAGCCCCCTAGGCCTCCTCCTACCACACCACTCACCATACGGTGGTGTGCGTGGCTATGACTGACTGGGGTTCCCCAAGAGACTGGGGGTTCTGTTAGGGCAGGAAAAGCTATGTGTCAGGGATCAGCCCAGGCCCTAGTGCAAAGTCGGGGACACAGAAGTGCCAGATTCTCTTGAATGACTGAATAAAAGAAGACAGAAAGAAAACAAGTCAAGCTAAAAATGATACACTTAACACATGCCACGAAGTCCTGGAAAGGGTTGCTGCGAGTGTGGTTGTTGGCTCTCTAGTGGCCCATGCAAAGAGGGGAAACGTGACCAGTTACACAAACGAAGGCAGCCACGAGGCAAAAACAAACCACCACTCAAAAGCCCAGAACAAAATGGTGCCCAACGGGCCTCGAGGAGGCATCACAGTACCAAAGGCCAACCCAACTCTGCAAACACCACCCTACAAGCCTCGTGTCCCGGCTGCCTGCACCTGTGTCCTACTCTCCCCACTCTAGTTAGGTCTATGAAGCAAGAGGGGTCTTCCCCAGGGCACCCGGCACAATCCCTTACACAGAGCTCCAGAACCTGTTAGCACGTGAATGAACCTGAGCAGCGGGGCCATCGAGCCATCCACCCTCTCACTCTGACCCCTCAGGGCCCTGCTAACCATGACCGCGGACTCTCCTTCAGCACTTTCACCATGTGCTCAGCAGGTCTCAGGGGACCCCCAGGAGCTGACCAAAGCCATGGTCCCGAGTGAATCCAGGAGGCCAGGGAGTTCCGGAGAGACCACCTGAGGTGTCAGGCTCACCTGTTGAGACCTTCCACGGCTGACGCCACACTGTCATCGATCTGCAGCACGGTCTTGTAGTCCACATAGGCCAGGGGGTACTTCTCCAGAGCCTCGTAGGCCGAGGCCCGCCGCAGGAGGGGCTTCATGCTGAAGGGAATCAGGGCCAGCGCTCTGGAGCAGGAGGCAGAAATGTCATCCAGCTGCTGAGGCACCAGGGCTCCCCCCACAGCTCCTTCTACGCAGGGTCATCTGCGACATTCAGCGTACAGGAGGTCACAGCTGGCACAGAAACGTGGCTAAAAATGTCAAACCTCAGCAGAGGAACTTTCCAACTTAGACTGAAGTGAAGAAGGGAGGAAGGGTAGAAAACCACTAAGGCTGTTAAATCCAATTTTCTGAGTCACACCCCCCCCAGATCAAGAACAAGCGCCCGTGGCTTGTACTCTCCCACATGTTCCTACAGAGTCCGACCCGGTGGGAGAAAGAGGCTTCGCCGTCAGCTGGAGTGGTGTCTGAATTCCACCTCTGCCACCGACCACGGAACGCCAGGTAGATCACCTTACGGCCTCAGTCGGCCGCAACCCACTTCTAGCCTGGGCGGGACGGTCAACTTACCCCGCAGAGCGGTCATGAGCCCTCCGGGAAGGAAACCCAGCATGGGCCCGGTATGGAGCACCCGAGCACAGGCCCCGGGAGCACACTCGTCTCTCCTCCTCTCTCAGCTATCACCAGGGCATGACCCCAAGGCGATGCCGCAGGAGAGCGGGTCTGAGAACACACGCATGTTGCCAGCTCAGGGACGAGAAGAGCAGGCAGGGTCAGACTGGCCGCAGAAGAAAGTAGTACAACAAACTGCTCAACATCCTTTACACCTCGCGATCGACGGACACCTTCTTCTCCTTGCTTCTTTTGAGGCGATTCAACTAACCTCTGTCCCTCTTCCTTTCCCTCCTGCACACATCCACCCCAGAAAACACCAGGGCGAGCCAGTCACAAGCCTGCACCTCACCCTCATCGTCGGGTCCCCGATCTCACAAGGCCCGTAAGGCTCACCTCTAAGTCCCCACCTAAGCCCACCCTCTAAGACTCCCACTCCGTTGGCAGACTCCAAAGACATGAGTCAGGGGCCGCAGGCACCACGTGGAGCCTCCTATCCTTGGTGACCTGGTGACACTCGGGGACACTTCCTCCTTATCTGACACAGTCGGAAGCGCTGGGATCGACCCCAAGAAGAGAACAGGCCCGATGAACACAGCCTCCTGTCCTGAGACCCCGGGGCTGCCCCGCCCACTTACGAAGTGCAGTCCTTGATGCAGTCCCTGCAGTTGCCATCCTTCAGGTGGCACGCTGCACGGTTAGAGAAGAGGATGCTTTCTTCTTCCGGGTTCGAGCAACCTGCCCAAGGGGAAGAGAAAGCATGAAATTAACAGAGTGGGAAATGGACGCCCCAGGACTCTGGGGTGTATTTCAAACCCGGAGCTCTCTGGGCTTCCTGATGGCGCTTGTTGGTCTGAGGGGCTGCCAGCAAGCTTCCTGCCACTCACAGGGAACCAATCAACTTCTCTTTCGCTCACTCCAGCACACAAGTCAGGACCAGGCAAAGGACAAAACATGAACCAGCTGGCTTCTGCTCAAGGATATCCATACTGTAACTACATGTGTGTGTGAATTTTGTTACAAAAAGCACGTAAACCCAATGAGAGGGGTTTTTGAAAAAGGAAAAGAAAAATGTGATAAAGAGACTGAACAGGTCAGGGGCGCCTGGGTGGCTCAGTGGGTTAAAGCCTCTGCCTTCGGCTCACGTCATGATCTCAGGGTCCTGGGATCGAGCCCCGCATCAGGCTCTCTGCTCGGCAGGGAGCCTGCTTCCTCCTCTATCTCTGCCTGCCTCTCTGCCTACTTGCAATCTCTGTCTCTGTCAAATAAATAAATAAAATAAAATTAAAAAAAAGAGAGAGACTGAACAGGTCAGAGACGAATCCTACCTGGTCAAATCAGAGAGGACTTTGCCAAAGAAGAGTCCTCTGGGTCTGGCAAGAATATGCAGAACTTTATCAGGGGAAGGATTCGAGCAACCCAGTATGGAAGAGAATTATCAGACACTTTCCTAAAGGTAATCCTTATCCTCAGGAATATCAGAAGCCCATGTCTTTTACTGTGTGGCCACAAAGACTTTCAATTTTAAAAAATAATTTTTTGGGGTGCCTGGGTGGCTCAGTTGGTTAGGCGTCTGCCTTGGGCTTAGGTTATGATCCCGGAGTCCCGGGATCATGCCCTGCATTGGGCTCCCTGCTTAGGGGGGAGCCTGTTTCTCCCTCTGACCCTCCCCTCTCTTGTGCTTTCCTACTCTAACTCTCTCAAATAAATAAATAAAATCTTTAAAAAAATAATTTTTCAACCACTTCATACCCACTAGCACAAGCCATCACGGAAAGCAAACAAACCAAAAACTCCAAAAATTATTAGATGTTGACTCAGTAATTCTACTCCTGAGTATATACCCCAAAGAAGTAAAATAAACTCTTTCCTGAAAATTACAAAACATCCAGAAAACAGTGAAACAGATACTTGACATCCATCCCTGGACTTGGCAATACATTGTATTTGTTTCCAACCTCTTTCATTTTTGAGATGGCTAAAGCTCCATTCATCCTCACCCTTTTCTCTTTGCTTCCTCCCCAGACCCCCAGAGGTCAGCACAGTTCTGAAGTTGGTAGGTAACACCCTCCTGTAGTCATGCTTGCCTTCTTCTATTACCTTCGAATTCACAGGGAAGAGCATATTCCATTTTATAGCTTTCAAAGATTTTCGAAATTAAGTGGCACCCCACTGCTTATCCTTCCACAACTTACTTTTTTAAACTAAGTATGTCACCATACCGAGGCATGACAGTTTTCATTCAATATCAACAGTAACAAACCAATAAAATCAGAACGTCCCCCCTTATTTTGCCAGGCCCTGAGTGAGACAGCAAAGTACAAGAAAAAGTAGAATATATTCTTGCTCTTGAAGAATAAGCACAAGTACTCAAAACTCATAGTTATCTCAAGGCGCTAGAGCACGGATGCACAGAAGCAGCAGGGGTGTGGTGGGAAGAGCAGCAGAGGAGCCGAGGATCCTGCCCCTGAGCCCGCATGAGTCACTTGATCCCTCTGATCGCATGTGCTCCCCTATCGCATTAACACACCACTTTACAGACTTGCTGGAAGGGTTCATTTTGTTCGCTTGCTCCCTGCTGTCCTTTCAAGATCAGCAAAGCTGAGCCGAGAAATCAAAGGATTTGCCCAGATATTACCAGGAAAATCAATAGCAAGATCAGAACCAAATGCTGGTCCCCAACTAAATCTACACCAGGCAGCCCTTCTAAGGATCCAGAATAAATCCATTCAAAAGCACATGCTTTTGCAGACCAGCTGGGGTAGGATGAAAGAAAAAGGTAGAAAATCAATACCTCAGATTCATCAGTGACTTCATCAAATGAGGCTGAGATGAGGAAGTGGGCCTAAAGAGGAGTGTTCTAGAAAAACAAGAGGGGGCCAAAGGGGGGCTTGAAATTGCACAAGGTCAAACAAGACAGATTGGACTTTGGAGAGGATTTGAGGAGAAGCCTGGCAAAATGATTCAAAACTCGGACTTGCAAATCAGACAGACCTGTTTTCAGATCCTGCCTCTGATGTCCTCATTGTATAACCCAGGGTAGACAGATTTAACTCTTCTGGACTCCTCATCTATAAGGTGTCTTATCCTTGGTTTGTATGTAGACAAAAAAAAAATGAAGTCTGTAGTGTCTAACACATAGTAAAGCACTCAACAAATGAAGGAAGGCAAAAGGAAATAGGTACTACAGGAAATGAGGGCTCATGGGTAAGGCACTTTGGAGGAGAGGTTTGGGCCAGTGGACTGTGGTTGGTTAGAATGAGGCTTAACTCTTCTCCAAAGTGTCTTACCCATGAGCTGGAGGCTGGGAGAACTGGTAAAGGACATGCTGCTCCTCTGTTTAAAACAAAAGTTGGGGTGCCTAGGTGGCTCAGTGGGTTAAGCCTCTACCTTTGGCTCAGGTTTTAGGGTCCTGGGATCGAGCCCTGCATTGGGCTCTCTGCTCGGTGGGGAGCCTGCTTCCCCCTCTCTCTCTGCCTGCCTCTCTGCCTACTTGTGATCTCTCTCTGTCAAATAAATAAATAAAATCTTAAGAAACCAAAAAAACCCCAAACTCCCCAGTTGTCTCCCATCATGGAATAAAATCCAAACTCCTTACCACAGCCTACTGTATAAAATGCCTACACAATATGGCTCTATCTAACTGACCTCAATATTTACTCTTCTTCCACTGGCTACTATGCTCTGGTTCCTGCAACACACCATGCTTAATCCTGTCTGGGGGCCTTTGGAATGAACAGTTCCACCTGGAATACTCATCACCCAAAACTATGCACTTGGCTTTTTCTAATCATTCAGACATCACTTCAAAGGTCACTTCTTCAAAGTTGTCCTTGACCTTCCACTCCAAAAGAGCTCCCCAGTCACCTCTCTTACCAAATCACTGTGTCTGTCTTCTTTGCAGCCCTGATGGTTATCAGACAGGCCTAGTTTACATCCGGGTAAGTTAAATGTGGTATGTCCATACAATGGAAAATTATGCAGCCTTAAAAAAGGAGGAAACCATCTGTCACATTGCTACAACATGGGATTATAATCTCCTTGGGGCCATTAAGGTAAGCAAACTAAGTCAGTCACAAAACACAAATACTGTATGACTGGACTCATAGGAAGTTAAACTAATCAAAATCACAGCTACCAAAAGTAGAAAGGTGGAAACAAAGGGCTGAGGGGAGGGAAGGAAGATTAGTGTTTTAGTGGGTACAGAGTTTCACTGCTGCAGCGATCTGTTGCACAACAATCTGAATGTACTTAATACTCCACTTAAAGACGGTTAAGAAGGTAAATTTAATGCTGTTTTTTACCGCAATAAAAAAAATAGTGATAAAACACCCACTGATATGGAGATATGTTTGGGATGAATCAATAAGTGAAAAAGAACCAGTAATAAAACCGTATTACAATTAAAAAAAAAAAAAAAAAAGCAGAAAGGCTCAAGGAAGTTTCTCGTAGGATGCCGAAGCGGGGAATGGGCAGGAAGGGTGCCCGGTGGGCCTGTTGAGCCAGCTGGCCCGGGGGAAAGCAAGCCGCAGGCACCCTGGGCAGGAGCGAGGTCTGGGCGGCCGTGGCTGGGGACGCCGCGGGGAGAGGCCGGCCTGGTGGGGAAACCGGGGCCGGGGTCGTACCTTGCGCCTGCAGCGTCCGCAGCGCGCGGCTGTAGAGCACGGTGGCTTCGGCGAACTGGCCGTTGCGGAAACTATGGTTGCCGGCGGCGCGGAGCGCCTCCACGGAGTCTGCGAGCTTGGGGCCCATCCCCGGGGCCGAGCCGGCGCACCGGGCGGCGCGTCCGTTACCGCGCTGAGGCGTGCGCAACAGCGTCCCGGCGGGAGCACCGGCCAGCGAAGATGCGACGGCGACCGCCAACCTGCCCTGGAGGGGGCGGGACGCGCGGGGCGGGGCCAGAGCTGCGCGCGCCAGGGGCCTTCTGCGCATGCTCCGGTGGGGACTTACCTAGCGGAACGCTCTGTATGGTCCCCGTAGGGAGGCTGAGGGCCTAAGGAGGTCAAAACTCTGGGTAAAACCATGAAAGAGGCCAGGTCCCTGCTGGCGGGGAGCTTACATTCTCGTGGGAACCGACAGGCTATTAACTCTTGAGCAAACGAAGACGATAATCTCATAATGTGATTAATGCTACAAGGAAAACAAAACTGTGGTGTAATGGGAAGTGACCACGTGGGGACTATTTTAGATAAGGGGGGTGGTGGGGTGGGGTAGGCGTCTCTGAGAGACTAAGGAGCTGAAGAAGCCTGAGAAGATTTAGGGAGTGCTGGTCCAGACACATAGCAAGTGCAAAGGCACTGAGGCTGGAAACTAACTGGTACCTAGTGCTCTGTAGATGTTGATTTAATAAATGAATGCACTGATAGGTCCGTGAGGATCTTTCGCTGAGGGCAACTTGAACTTATCTTCAGCGTCCTTTGACATAACTGTATGTCCCCTTGATGGGCCAGTGTTTTTAACTGCTTGTTGACCCCTGTGCACATGAAGCTGTTTCTCTTGCTTTCTAACCTTCGCTTATGTGCCCCCATCCTGCAGTTCTTTTCCAAACACTTCTTTTACCTGATCCTGACCACCTATAATCATTCTTTCTGAAAGCCTTTCTTGACACCTCACATCTTGTCCCTGGTCCCTCCTCTGCTCCAATTGCTCCCAGAGTTTATATCTCAGTTAACACTCTGTGATTGTCAGTTTACAGTTTTTCTCAAAGACTGTGAAACCTTTAAAGGCAGGAAGTAGGTCTTTATTTTTATCTCCACAAGACCTAATCAGATTTAGCACCAAACATGTAGTTATAAAGGTCTATTGGCAAACACGTGGTCTCTGCCCTCAGAAATTTAGTTATAATTATTTGTGTAAATCCAACTCACCCAGACTATAAGCTTTCTGAGGGTTGAGTGGCTGTTCCATTTGAATCTACTCAGTCCAGCGCAGGCCCCACACAAGGAAAGAATGAATTTAGTGTGGTGCGGAAACCCGACCATGCACATACACTGCTGGTTATTTACTCAACAGCTTCCATCTTTGCTTCCAGAAGTCTGAATTCTTCTGCTTCAGGGAATGAATCAGGATTTTGTTAACCCAATCACAGTAATCTCACTCCCTTTTGCCAATGATTGGTCAGGTGTGGACATACCCCTGATTTGCTCAGCGAGTTACGGGAGGTCTGCTGGGTCCTTATGGGAAAGCTTTTCCTCTCAGATAAGAGATACAGAATTGCAAAATAACTTTTTTTTCTCTCTCTTTATGCTTTGGTTACTGTTGGGTTAAGGATATATACCTGGACATGTGGTAGTCATTTTGCAATTGTGAGGCAACAAGCACAGGCATGAAAAACCCATGTGCTGAGGAGGGCAGGAGGAGAAAGATGAAATTGACATTGGTGAGCCATTGAATCAACCCTGGAAGGACTGACTTCTGGACTACTTAATAAACAACAAATGCCATGGTGCCTTAAGCTGCCATTTAGACTTTTTTCCCCCCAGTTACTTGGAGGTGGATATATTGTAAATGATACACCAGACAAGTACATCTGTGTCAAGCTGTATTTTCCAAAAATGACCAAACCAATAATTTCCAGTCCTCTGCCCTCTTCCAGAACCTGGCCACTCCCCCAACCAGAGATAGAGTCTATTTTAGCTCTCTTTGAAATTGCACAGGACTTTGGGGTCCCCTCAACAGTGGAAATAACATTATCTATCTTCCAAGACTATGCCATTAAAAGGCACTAAAGGTTCCTCCCAGCTCACCCTCACAAATATCCTTCAGCACCTAGCCTTTATCCTGAGACTTAAAAAACCAAACAAACCAAAATGAGAAGTCCCCTCTACCCTCAGTGCTAAGTGAGCTCCCAGCCAACAGCTGGCACCAACTTGTCAGACATGTAAATGAGGCATTTTGGATAAGAACACATCCAGGGGCACCTGGGTGGTTCAGTTGTTAAGCGTCTGCCTTCAGCTTGGGTCATGATCCCAGGGTCCTGGGATCGAGAGACCCGCATCGGGCTCCCTGCTCAGGGGGAAGACTGCTTCTCCCATTCCCCCTGCTCATGTTCCCTCTCTAGCTGTTTTTCTGTCAAATAAAGAAAATCTTTAAAAAGAAACAAAAAAAGAATATATCCAAATGGTGACTGACCCTGACTGACACCATGGAAAAAGAGACGAACCTTACCTGCGGAACCATGCTCAAATTGTAAATTTATGGGGGAGAGAGAGAGAGAGAGAAATACTGTTGTTTTATGCCACTAAGTTCTGGGAATGGTTTCTTTCTTTCTTTTTTTTTTTTATAAGATTTTATTTATTTATTTGACAGATCACAAGCAGGCAGAGAGGCAGGCAGAGAGAGAGGAGGAAGCAGGCTCCCTGCTGAGCAGAGAGCCCGATGCGGGGCTTGATCCCAGGACTCCGAGATCATGACCTGAGCCGAAGGCAGCGGCTTAACCCACTGAGCCACCCAGGCGCCCCCTGGGAATGGTTTCTTACACAGCAACTGATAAATGGTAATCCCTTCCCACAATGCTTCCCATAAATGCAGGGCCGATAAAAGCAGAACTGAAAGAATTTAGGGGAGGGAGATATTGGGGAGTAGGGGCATAGTGAAAGTCTCCTGGGAGGTGACTTTTTAAAATCAATTTTATTGAGAAATAATTCATTAGCATATAATCCACCCATTTAAAGTTATGTACAGTTCAGTGGTTTTTATTATGTTCAGAGTTATATAATCATCACCACAATTTTAGAATATTGTCATTATCAAAATGAAACCCCACATCTTTTAGTCATCATACCCAATTCTCCTACTCCATCTCCCCCATCCCCAAGCCCAAGCCCAAAGCAACCACTAACCTACCTTCTGATAAATTTGCCTGTTTTGGACTTTTCATGTAAATGGAATCATATGATACACGATCCTCTGTGATTGGCCTCTCACACACAGCAGTGTTTTCCCGTGTCATCCATGGTGTACCATGTATCAGAACTTCATTCCTTTTTATTGCTGAGTAATATTCCATTGTATACATTTTGGGTGTATTTATACATAAATACATTACATGTATGTATTTATACATAATACATTACATGTATGTATTTACACATAAATACATTACATGTATGTATTTATACATTTGCCAGCTGATGGACATTTGGGTTCTATTTTTTGGATAGGAAGTAACTTTTTTTTTTTTTAGGAAGTAACTTTTTGATATTTATTAAGATTTCATCTCTCTGAGTTAACCATCTCACCAAAGACGTATTTAATATGTATGCAGCTTTAATGGGGGAAGGAATAGATATTACAGCTGTAGTCTCCTGAATGAGGTAATATGCACAGACATGATTATTGGACATTCATTTTTTGTTTGTTTAAACATTTCTTTTCAGGGTTAATTGGTAGTTTCTTTTAAATAATATCTCTGCCTTAGTTAGTTGAGAGACACTGGTGAGTAAAGTGTTAGAATCAGGACAATCTTACATTTCATTGAACTGAGCCAGACACAGCCAATACTTTTATATGCTGATTCCAAATAATGAACCAATTGGTCTTGGGGAAAGAAATACAGACAGCATCATAATTTGTCAATTTCCAGTTCTGGATGCTTTTCAGTTCAGGTGTATCAGTCATGACTTTATCTGAAAACACACTCCGAGTAAGATGGCTTATGGAAGGGATTTGAAATAAGAAGTTAATTCAGGGAATTGGTTTCAGAGGTGACGGAAGAGCCAAGATGCCAACACGGAACACTGAGGGATCCCAAAGGCCAGCAGCAGCAGGAATACTATGCCCAGGACTTGAATATAAAAAGGAAATGGTGATGATGTGGCTTGGAGTGTTGGGGTTGAGGAGCCAATGGCCAAGAAAGAATGCTTGATACATCTTTGTTAAAGCACGGAGATAGGACCCAGGGGTAGAAAGAGCTGCACTGGGGTTATGAGGAGTGACTAATTAAAAGATTTTTTTGAAGATTTTATTTATTTGACAGAGAGATCACAAGTAGGCAGAGAGGCAGGCAGGGAGAGAGGAAGGGAAGCAGGCTCCCCGCTGAGCAGAGAGCCCGATGTGGGGCTCAATCCCAGAACCCTGGGATCATGACCTGAGCCGAAGGCAGAGGCTTAACCCACTGAGCCAGCCAGGCGCCCCTAATTAAAGATTTTCTATCTCATGGAGGGGAGAGTGATGTTAGGGCTCCAGGAAACTGAGTTTATAGGTTTCTGGAAATTGTTTTTCTCTCTCTTTTTAAAAGATTTTATGTATTTATTTGACAGAGAGAGAGAGGAGAGAGGGAACACAAGCAGGGGGAGAGAGAGGGAGAAGCAGGCTTCCCGCTGGGCAGGCAGCCCAATGGGATCATGACCTGAGCTGAAGGCAACACTTAACAGCTGAGCCACCCATGCACCCCAGAAATTGCTTTTTTCTTATAAACCATTGACAGGTGCAAAATGAAGGAGACTGTGTCTTGTATCCTGCATGACTGTGATCTCCATCAGTTAACCATTTTTCTTCCTTTCCTTTGTTTTAGGGCAGCCGGGATGCCTGAGGAATGTCACACATAACCCACGGGGTGAGGGGTGGGGGGGGGAGCTGTGGAGTGTTAGCTTGTGCTTTGCCCTCAGTTTGCCTCTGCTCTTTCAGAAGCTGCAGCAGAGTAGGAGCTGGAGCCAAGTCAGGATGCTCTAGGAGGAGCTGAAGACAAAATTACTGTTGGATACTTGATCAGAAGCAAAGAAGAGAGAGAAAGACTGGCTTCTCTCTTAGTTTTCTGTTTTTGGTCTCCTGACAGTGAACCCAGCCAGAAGTCAGCTGACATGGGAACTTGAGAAGTGAGCTTACAGGACTGGTCTTTTCCCCTAGGACTTCTTAGATATGACATCAAAAGTATGAGTCATAAAAGAAAAAAGTGGATAAACGATACTTAAAAATTAAAGTTTCTGTTCTTTAAAAATGAGGCTGTTGAGAGAATGAAAATACAAGCTCCAGAAAATGTTTGTAAATCACATATCTGATAAAGGACATGCCTCCAGAATATTAACAAAAACACTAAAAACTCAATAATGAGAGAAAGCAATTTTAAGAAGGACAAAAGACTTGGAAAATACACAGATGACAAGTACTTGAAAAGATGCTCAACATCATTAGTCATTAGAGAAACACCAATTAGAAACACAGTGAGGGGGCGCCTGGGTGGCTCAGCGGGTTAAGCATCTGTCTTCAGCTCAGGTTGTGATGGAGCCCCCACTAGGCTTCGTGCTTATCAGGGAGTCTGCTTCTCCCTTTCCCTCTGCCCCTCCCCACTCCTGCTTGTGCCCTCTCTCTCTCTCTCTCAAATAAATAAGTAAAATCTTAAAACGAAACAAAATGAAACACAGTGAGATACCCCTACACACCTATTAGATTGGCTAAAATTGCAAAGATCGATCATACCAAGTATAGATGATATAGAGATATTGAAATTCCCATACACTGTTGGTGGAAATATAGAACAGTATAATCACCTTGAAAAACAGTTTCTTAAAACAAACTGAGGGTTGCTGGGGGTAGGGAGAGGGTGGTGGGGTTATGGACATTGGGGAGGGTATGTGCTATGGTTGAGTGCTGTGAAGTGTGTAAACCTGGTGATTCACAGACTTGTAACCCTGGGGCTAATAATACATTATATGTTAATAAAAAAAATTAAAAAATAATTAAAAAAAAGAAAAAAAAGTTTCTTAATACATTAACCCAGATATTTCTCACCTATTTGTTTACTCAAGAGAAATGAAATGTATGTCCATACAAGCATCTACATAAATGATTTTAAGTTTTATTTGTAATAACCAAAAACTGGAAAATGATTACTTTGAGACCATTAGGTTTTGGGGTGGTTTTTTACATAGTGATAGTTAACTAGTACATTGAACTAACTTGCAACCCTTTTGCATCTTTACATTGCCCATATTGAATGTGACTCCGGCCACAGCTCCTACCTCATCTCCTACCTTTCCTTCTTCATTCTGCTCCAAACATGCTAACTTCTGGCTGCTCTTCCAACACAAGCCTTTGCCTTTGCCCTTGCTGTTCCCTCTGCCTTAAATACTCTTTAAAAAAATATTAGTGTGGGGGCACCTGGGTGGCTCAGTGGGCTAAAGCCTCTGCCTTCGGCTCAGGTCATGATCTCAGGGTCTTGGGATCGAGTCCCGCATCGGGCTCTCTGCTCCGCAGGGAGTCTGCTTCCTCTTCTCTCTCTGCCTGCCTCTCTGCCTGTCAAATAAGTAAATAAAATCTTAAAAAAAAAAAAAAATATATATATATATATTTATATATATTAATGTGACTTAGTCTCTCATTTCAGTCACATATTGTTTCTTTGTCTATTTGGTTTTGTTGTTTTATTGCCTTTCCCACTTGAATGGAAGATCCACGAGGGAAGAAACTTTATTTTCCTCACTGCCTTGCAGGTAGTGCTGTGCTTGGCCCAGAGCAGATACTAGATATGTATTTGCTGAATGAATGAATGAATGACTGTTCTGGCCTTCTCAGAGTTCTCCTGATCCTACCAGCCTTGGTTAGGTTCTCATATTATAGTTTTATGTAATTTATCACCACGTTAATTACCTGCCTAGCAACTGTATCTTCTACACTGTAAACTGCAAAAAAGCTAGAGCTCATCTGTCTTGAGTACTGTAACCTGGCCAGAGCCGACTACAGTAACAGGCATATGGAGCTCAGTAAGCATGGAATGAAGTATGAGTAACCTGCTCATTGGTTCTCTCTTTTTTTAAGATTTTATTTATTTTATTATTTTTTAAGGTTTTATTTATTTATCTGACAGAGAGAGAGAGATCCTAAGTAGGCAGAGAGGCAGGCAGAGAGAGGGGGGGGAAGCAGGCTCCCCACCAAGCAGAGAGTCCAATGTGGGCCTCGATCCCAGGACCCTGAGATCATGACCTGAGCTGAAGGCAGAGGCCTAACCCACTGAGCCACCCAGGCGCCACAGGATTTTATTTTAGAGTGAGAGAAAGAGAAAGTGTGTGCACACATGGGGAGAGGCACAGAGGGAAAGGGAGAAAGAATCTCAAGCAGACTCCCCACTGGGCACAGAGCCAGATACAGGATCTCACAACCCTGAGATCATGACCCGAGTCAAAAATCACAAGTCAGGGGCACCTGGGTGGCTCAGGGGTTGAGGACTCTGCCTTCGGCTTGGGTCATGGTCCCAGGGTCCTGGGATTGAGCCCCGCATCGGGCTCTCTGCTCGGTGGGGAGCCTGCTTCCTCCTCTCTCTCTCTCTGCCTGCCTCTCTGCCTACTTGTGATCTCCGTCTGTCAAATAAATAAATAAAATCTTAAAAAAAAAAATCACAAGTCAGATGCTCAACGGACTGAGCCACCCGGGTGCCCCACTGGTTCTTTCTCTTAAGCTATTATCATATTATGGTTCAGGCTGAGGTTTTTTACTTATTTATTTTTAAAAATTTTTATTTATTTATTTGAGAGAAAGAACAAGAATGAGTTGGGGGGAGAGGCAGAGGGAGAGGGAGAAGCAGAATCCCTGCTGACCAGGGAGTCGGATTGGGACTCAATCCCATAATCCTAGGATTATGGCCTGAGCCAAAGGCAGACACTTAACCCACTGAGCCACCCAAGCACCCGAGGTTTGTTGTTTAAATGTTATATTAAATATAATTTAAAATTCAGTTTGTCAGTTATATTACCCACATTTAAAGTGCTCAACAGCTACACGTGTCTACTGGCACTGGTTTTGGACAGCATATAAATAGAACATTTCCACCATCCCAGAAATTTCTATGGGGCAGTGCTGGACTGGAAATTGTTTAAAGAGAGGGCAATCCTGATGTCAGTCTACCTTTTGGAAAAATCCCAGAAAGGGGATAAAGGAGGGATGTTTGACACTATGTGCTGGTAAACTGACATTTATTTTTAAAAAAGGTTTTCTGAGTACCTACTCATTTATAGGCATGCGTGTGTGGGCAGTGGGGCCTGAACATGAGGTCAAACGAAGAGTGTGCTTTAGGAGAAGTACAGGAAAAGTACCAGGGGATTTCAGAGGATAGAGGACTGCCTTTTTGCAATAGGGACCTGTGATGGCTTCCTGAACTTTGTACAAACTTTTTATCTTTACTACCTCAGGGCTCCTACTACCATTTGTACAGATTTCTAGTAGGACAAAGTAGCAAATAAAACATGGATTCTATGGAGGCCAGCCCGTCTTGGGTTAAAAAACTTTTCTCTCACTAGCTGTGTTTATGAGTCTCAGCTTCCTCACCAGTAAAATGTGGATAGTAACTTCTACTTCATAGGGTTGTTTGAGGATTAAGAGACAGCATAGGATTGTGCCTGCCACATATATTCTCTGCAAATGTGGTCCACCCCTGTAAGGGGAATGGATCCGTTATCCCTATTTTACCATATGGGGTGCCATACCTGGGTGGCCCTGAAAGGCGGCTGCTTAGCTGTTAACTTCATGGATGGCATACCTTTGGGAAAAGCAGGACAATTAAAAACTGAAGTTTTCTCATGGAACCTACCCCACGGGTAAACTGGGTGGAATATGCTTTTCTCAACACTCATTGATGGTGGGGGCAAATGAAGGTTTACAGACCGCCATAGCTGGAACTGAAGCTCTTAGGGAAGAGGGAGCCTGACTCCCACGCCAAACAGAGGGTATAAATCAGAGGTTGTCCGGTTTGGTGGTGCAGGCTGCGGGCAGAGTGATCTGTATCTAAATCTCCAAATCTCTATTCTTAACTATGTGATCTTCACCTCTCTGGCCTTATAAAAGGAGAGTAATAATAGTACTTACCTTGTAGGGTTATTAGGAGTATTAAATGAATTAGTTCTAGTAAAGCACTGAGCATCAAATAATACATAAAATTGGGGATAACGTTACAGGCTTCCTAAGAGGATTAAACGAGAATACAGGTAAGTAAGCACAGGGCAAGCGCTTAATCATGATTAGCTATCTTCATGCCGGGCAGCCGACTCAAAGGTGAGAAGCCCTTAAGAAAGGCGGGTGAGCAATATACAGCCTGATGCTCTGAGACATCCGAGGGCGGTTCGGCCTCCTTCTGGAACAAGAATCCAACCGGCACGGAGCGGTAGGAACCCACGAATACCTCCAGGAGTCCCCGGCGCAACGCTTCCCAGAAATCGCCGAGAACCTGGCCGCTTCCCAAGAAGCCTCAGTATCTCGGTCGGAGGAACAAGGGCCGGGCCGCAGCGGAGACGGGCTCCCGGCCCGAGACCCGCCAAGAGCACCGCGCTGCACCGAAACCGCGCTGCGGACGGACCAGAGCCCGACGCAGGGGGTTCTGCCTTCTGAGGCCGCGCCCCGCGCGCCACGTGACTCAGGCTCCGCATCACGTGGTCCAGATCCTCGCAGCCCCGCCCTGCTCGCGCGCGGCGCGCCGCTTCCGGTGGGGGCGGAAAGCGGAAGTGTGGGAGGGTCTGCGGGGCGGGCTCGGGGAGGTCCCGGGGGAGGATGGAGCAGTGAGCGGGTCTGGGCGGCTGCTGGCAGCGCCATGGAGACGGTGCAGCTGAGGAACCCGCCGCGCCGGTGAGGGGCCGCTGGCTGAGAGGCAGGGGGTGGGGAGAGGGAAAGGCGGGAACTGGCGGAGGAGAGGCACCGGGTGAGCCCCCGGAGGGATGGACCTGCGGGGCCAAGCGATCCTGGCACCTGCTGAGTGGGGGACTCTCCGCCAGGAGGGGGTCCGGCAGAGGGGAGCACGCGCCCAGGGTCATAAACGTGGGACTGGTTGGGGAGAGCACTTGCTGTGGGGGGGATATCCTGGCGGAAGGGGGCATTGCTGAAGGGAGCAGCTGCTGAGGGACGTGGGGACAAGTTAGGGAGAGCACCTGCTGATGGCGGGGGCGCCTGGGGGGAGGCCATGCTAGGATCGATTCATTGAGGTGGGGGATGCTGGAGCAGGATGAGAACCCAGAGGGGTCTAAGATATGGGTCAGGAACAAGCAGAGGAAGACTGGGTGGACTTTCTGAGGGATGGGGTCCCACTTGAGGGGTGCAATGGGGAAGATCTGTCGAGGGCAAAAGCTTTACACCTAAGGGTGAAGGTGTGCCGAGAAAGGTTGAAGGTCCGACAAGGGAGGGCTTCGTGCAGGATAGCATTTAGGAAAAATTTCCGGGTAGTGTCCCCACTCTTGGATGAGGATGACATCTTTCATTCCTGATGCCCCCTGCTTTCCTACTTTTCCTTACGTCCTCCTCAGTTTTTCAAACCTGACATTGGGAGGTGGATAAGGAGATAAGAGGATATTTTCAAGAAGGGCAAATTGAGGCCCAGAAGAGTTGAGACACAGTCCTGTGTATTTCCTTCTTTGCTGTAGGTCTTGGTCACGACCTGACCAGTCTGGGCCCTTTTCTGGCCTCTATTGTTTTGTATCAGCTCCAGATCCTGCTGCTACCTGGAATTGTTTTTAAGTCAAGATCAGGGTGGTGGCTGATCCTAGAAAGTCTGAACTCTGGTGTTGGTTTGAGTTAGATCATTGATTCACGCTGTGGACACCAGGGTCTTGTGTCGCTCTTCCACATCTGGAGAAAAAATAACAGAGATCAACTGAGTCCAGCTTCTATGGGGTGCAGTGTAATTAGCTTCTATTTCACAGAGACCTCTGACTTCCTGCAGCAGAATGAGCACTAAAGTAGGAAGTGTTCAGTGTGTGGGAGTGTGGGGCAAAGGAGAGGTGAAGGGAAGGGATCGGCAGCCTGGGCTGCACACTCGGGGTTTGTTTGAAGTACACAAACATGGCAGAAGGCAAATAGCTGTTTGGGATGGACTCATAATTCACCCTAGTGTAGTGTGCTGAGAGGAAATGATAATGATTCTTACACATATGGCACTTTCTGGGTGCCTGGAACCGTTCTCAGTGCTTTCCCTGTCTCCTGGTGAACCACATGTAAATGACCTATAAAAATGGTAATTTCGTGTGGTTCAGCTTATTATGACTCTTTCGATCCTCACAACAATCTTATGATACGAGGTGGTTATCTCTATAGCTCTATTTTACTGGTGATAAAACTGAGGCACAAAGAGTTTCAAGTGATTTGCGGGAGGTTCCATAGTCAGTAAGTGGCAGAGCTGGGAGTTTAAACCAGGCGGTCTGGTCCAAAGTCCATGCTTTTAACCGTTTCCTCTGATGCCCTCTGGAAGCACCCGGGTTTCACAGGGACTGAATGTTAGCAGGTATTTGCTACAGCACCATAATGATCCAGTTATAAATGTACATTGGTTATATTTCTTTCTGAAATATATTTGTTGTTTCTCTGAGGCCTTGGTTTAATTGAAAAGGGGATTAGGAATCTGAGTTTTGTTTCTACCTTTGTCATGTGTTCTATAATCTTGGCCAAAAGCGTAAACCTTTTTGTTTTTTTGACACACTCATTCCTGCACCTTTTGGATTTTAAGAACTTTATTGAGGGTGCAAGAGAAGAGCGTTGCAGGGCTGAATTCTTGAATGACTGGTGCTTTCCTGCTCATCATAACTAGTGAAGTACCTAATCTGCATCAGATTAACTTTGTTACTTGCATTTATTAGGACTTTCATGTCAGTTTCACAAACGGTGATTTTAACAACAGAGATGTATTTTCTTCTAGTTTTCAGGAGGCTAGAAGTCTAAGATCAGGGTATCAGCAGGATTGTTTCTTTGAGGCCTCTCTCCTTGACTTGTAGATGGCTCTCTCCTTCCTCTGTCTTCACATGGTCTTCCCTCTGTAGATGTCTGTCCTTATCTTCTATAAGGACACCAGTCATATTGATTTAGGACTCACCTCTATGACCTTATTTTACCTTAATTACCTCTTTAAAGGCACTATCTCCAAATAAAGTCACATTCTGAGGTCCTGGGGCTTAGGACTTCAACATAGGAATTTGGGGAGAGGCAAGATATTCATTTTATTATCATTAAAAAAGTCACCAATTTATATGTTTGTTGCAACCATATCAAATTCTGAATGGAAAGAGGGGTAGGTATACATAAATAAAATGAGATAAAACAAGAGTTCTGAGATGGGAGAAAGAGGCTTGAGAATTAGCCAAATCTATGAGTAACTGCTTCATAAATACCCTCATTTGTGTTTGGAGAGATAAACTTGTCTTTTTAGAGATGCAGTTGGCATGTGTTTCCAGCAAGGGATGACAATCTCAATGCAGGAAATGCTCTTTGCGTTCATGAGCTTGACATTTGTGTGTGACTGAGTGATTCAGGTTGATGGCTTATGTAGGTGATTATGATTTTTAAAAGTGAGCTGGTGTTAGATAATAGTAGTGTGCTGGAGGATGTAGAGGGCATTTCTGGAATGCTTGGCTGTCCATGTGGCCGTCTGACTTAGGAGAGGAGCATCTGCTGGTGTTTGGTCCAAGGAGGCTGTGTTGGTCAGGCCTCTTCTTTTATGAGCAAGCAATGAAACTACCTAAGGCCTGGGGGATGTCCCAGCTGAGAGCTGAATCATCAGTCGGGCTGTTCTGTGCTTCTTCCATGAAGACTTACGGTATAAAGTATCCCTGAGAGTCCCTTAGTAGAGGATTTTCCGTAGGAATCTTATTTGTTGAGAATCTGGTAATCCTTTTTAGGGTGCAATTCTATTCTTTTGGAAACTCACAAGGATTGCTGATAAAAGTTTAGGATTCCCATCATTACATTCATTAATCCATATAGGAAATGTTTGTTGACCCCCTCTGGGTTATCAGGCAGCAGAGAGAGAAAGATCTGTTAAGCCTGGATCAAAAGCAAACAAAAAACTGGGGCACCTGGGTGGCTAAGTCAGTTGAACGTCTGCCTTTGGCTCTCTCAAATAAATAAATAAATAAATAATCTCAAAACACACACACACACACACACACACACACACACACACACATATACACAAGCCAAGTAGATTGTTGGAGAGAAGTCTCTGAGCAGGTACACAATTTGTCAGAGGATTATCAGGGACTCGCAGCTGTTTCTCTCATGCCAGGCGCAGTTTCCTTTGTTATGTTGTGGTCTCAGGGTAGTTGAAATAGTGAGTTTTGCTTTTTGTAAACCACAAAGTCGACACTTCAAAGGAACACATTTGATCTTCCTTTATATAAGCTGTTTGATTATACTTGAGAAATGAGGTATTGTCCATTGTTTATACAGTTATGAATTCAGCACTTCACAAAAACCCACGCCCTCACCCCAGTTTGTATGATTTTCTTTCTAACATCTGAGTTCATAGACATTTCACTTCTGAAGTTTAAGAGGAGTTTCACTTCACCCCTTTTTGTTTTGAAGCTAGTTTTTATGATGTCACTGGAATTTAATTTTTTAGGACCTTTTGAGTTTCAAAGGTCACTGCGGTCATTTTGTTAATTTTCAAGTTGTCGCAATTATTGACTTGGAGCATTTCTCCATTTCTTTAGTGTGTAGTCTTTGACATTTACAGAATTATGTGAGATTGTCTTTTAGAGATCCGTGTTCAGGGGTGGATACACTCGATGTGTTCTCAAGTTTCTTTCTGTCTTTTCTTATGATTTGACTATTTGCTCCAGGAAGGGGTGTGTGTGTATGCAATTCAAGTCTTCTCCATGTAATTCTGGTCTTCTCTTGTAAAAATTGGTATTGTCCAGCTAGTTTAAACCTTTTCTCTACAAATAAGTCTTCAGTGTTACTACTTCCATAATTTCACCATTTCCTGAGCTCTCTTTTTTTGTTGTTCTTTGTAGTTTCAGGAAACTATTGTGTAGAAGATACACACACACACACACACACACAAATATTCTTTGGCAAGCTTCTTCCTTAAGCCCATTAATAATTTTTAGACCTTTCAGTTTTAAAAAAATATTGTTAATTTATAACCTCCATGTTTGTTATTTACTACATCTAGCATACTCAGAAAAATCTGAATTATCAGGAAATCATAAGCTGCCATGAATCTTTGATTTTGGGGACTTTCTGGAGGTACACAGCTGCTCACGGAAGAGTCTCTCTGAGTCTGTTTGAAATTCCTAGCTGCATAGTTATTTTTCACTTTTGATCATGTATAAGTGTATACCTTCTACTTTCTGTTTCTGTGATACCTATAGAATCCCTGTGTTTTGGCCGAATTACCAAAATCTTGCTAAGGGAGAGTAAGAGTCTCTATATCTTCCTTGGCCTCCAGTCTGAGACCATGTTTCAATTTATAGTTAACCTTACATTAAACATCTCTTCTGAAGAGATAGTTATGCCATTTTAATTTGCGAAATCTCAAGCTTTACATGGTTTTTAAAGGTTCTATCAAAGCTTAAATCCACTCTGTAGCATTTCAGCCAAATGATGATTCATTTTCTGTTTAAGTTCTCCAGTGATGGGGAACTAGGGACTTCTTAAGGCAGTCTAAACCATTTCAGAGCAACTTTTGTAGTTAGAAATTTTTTTTTCTTTTTTTAAATTTTATTTGAGAGAAAGAGAGAGCGTGCATGTGAGAGCATAAGCAGGGGGAGGGACAGAGGGAGAGGTAGAAGCAGACTCCCGGCTGAGCAGGGAGCCCAGTGCTGGGGAGGGAGGGGCTCAATCCCAGAACTCGGAGATCATGACCTGAGCCAAAGGTAGACACTTAACTGACTGAGCCACCCAGGTAGCTTGGAAAATTTCTTAGACCTGTTGAACTGAAGTCCGACTCTTGGTAGTTCTCTATCCTCTGGTCCTGATTATGCTCACCAGAGGGACCCAGGACACATGTAATACTGCCACAGACAGCTCTTAAGTCTCTTAGGTTGGGGTGCCTGCGTGGTTCAGTCAGAAATATGTGCAACTCTTGATATCAGGGTCATGAGTTCAAGCTTCTACAGTGGGTGTAGAGATTATTTAATAAAAAACAAACAAACAAATAAATAAAAATACTTAATTAAATAAATAAATTAATAATAAAGAAATAATGCTCAAATTTAAAAAACAATATAAATTAAAAACTTAAATAGATAAAAATGTCTCTTATGAGTCATGAGAGACAATGGACTCCGGGAAACAACTTGAGGGTTTCAGAAGGGAGGGGGGTGGGGCATGAGGTAGGCCGGTGATGGGTATTAAGGAGGGCGCGAACTGCGTGGAGCACTGGGTGTTACATGCAAACAACGAATGATGGAACACTACATTAAAAACTAATGTAAGTTTGGTGTATGTAAGTATAAGTATAGGACTAACATAACATAATTGTAAACATAATACTAAAAAAAAAGTCTCTTACCTTGCCTCTGTTGTTTATTAGTAAAGACTTTGTAGAGCAATTCCCAAGATGCTAATTGTAATATAAATAATGTATTTTGTGGTCTAGTTGCTAGCAAGTAGAATGTATTTTATGTTTTTATTTCTTCATTCACAGGCAGCTGAAAAAGTTAGATGAAGATAGTTTGACTAAACAACCCGAAGAAGTGTTTGATGTCTTAGAGAAACTTGGAGAAGGGTGAGTGTACAGAAAGTACAGGTAGACCAGTAGGTCCCAGTCTTTTTCTTCCCCAACACCAGAAGGAGCTGAACCTTTCTTATGTCAATAACTCACAAACCTAAGGAGAAGGAAGAGGAATGTTGCACATGGCACTGCTCCGAGTGGGCTGGGCAGGAGATGTACAGCTTGAGATGCCCTTTCGCTCTTTCCCCCAGTCACCATTATAGACAGATTTAGTGATGCCTGGTCTCTTCAACACCAAGGGTATCTGTTTTCTGTCTCATAGAATCCATAGTTTACATGATTTTATATATGTAACAGCACTAACTAGCCTATACTTCATTTAACAATTTTTATTAGTCATATGTTTTTATTTGCTGTTCATGGTTACTGATCAATATGCAGTAACTATTGTTTCCATAAAATGGAATTCAGCATTTTAGTTAGTGCAGCTTTGTGAGATACAGTAAATACCTCAAGGACTGTCACTACCTTTACAACTTCCAAGAGATTGAAAATCCCAGGTCGGGAACCAGGGTACTTCTTGAAACCCAGATTTGTGAATGAGTGTATAAAATACTGCTGAGATGGTATTTAGTAATAGTGGTTTTTTGTGTATCATTCAGTGATAGTTTCTGCATTAATAAGCAGGTGTGTGTGTGTGTGTATATGTGTTTAGTCTCTCAAGAGTACTTCTCATTCAAGAGAAGACCTGAAATATTAACTTTTAAAAACTTGTATTATGTAAGTGCTGTGTGCTCCTTGAAATTAAGTCTTTTTTTAAAAAAAGATTTTATTTATTTATTGGACAGAGAGAGAGAGATCACAAGTAGGCAGAGCAGCAGGCAGAGGGAGAGGAAGAAGCAGGCTCTCCGCTGGCAGGGAGTCCAATGTGGGGCTCGATCTCATAACACTGGGATCATGACCTGAGCCAAAGGCAGATGCTTAACCGACTGAGCCACCCAGGTGCCCCTGAAATCAAGTCTTACATGTCATTAGATTATTTTGGGTTTTAATGTTATTTATGTCTAATGTAGGTCAGGAATAATGTTAAACCCGATCCTGGGTTACATGGCATAGGTTTTCATGGATTGCCTCCTTGTAAAAAACATTAGTCATCTTTTTCTAAGTTGGAAAAATACTCTCTGGAACCAAGCAAGACATCAAGCAGAGAAGGGAAATAAAAGAGGACACCAGCTGTGCTGTTAGAAGAAAAGTACAAGATGATTCTGAAGACTGCAAGTTGACTTGGCATCCTTAAAGGTATGGGAAAACGACAGTCCCTCCACATCTCTCGCCTGTCCTTTTCAGCTTTAGCTTGGCCTCCTTGCTGTTTTCCCTCAAGGCAGTGAGTCTAACGCCCTTCATCTAACAGTGCTCACAGGTCCTCCTTTGACTAAGATAAAGCGTGGTGGGCATAATTGAATATGTAACTAACTTGTTTCTTTCATTTTTAAGAGAACTGTGTGTTACGGTAGTACGGGCGTAGACTCTGAAGTTAGACCTATGTTAAAGCCCTTGCTCTACTGTTGTATTAGTCACAATAAACAAGTGGGCTTGAGCAGATTACTTAATATTTTGAAGCTTCATAAACCTCCACTATGAAGCATAGATATTCTTATCTCCCTCATCTGGGTTATACCAAGTCTTACCTGGGGTAATAGGGGTATGGTACCGAGTACAGTGCCCGTCACATAGTGTGTGCTCAGTGAGTGGCAGCCATGATCCTTTTATTTTTAAGCCTACCAACTGAAGCATTCTTCAGACCTTATCATGTCAAATCAAAGTTAGATCTTAAATCTTCAGTATATTTAGGCATTCCTGAAGGGAGCGCTGTTTGCATTCATTGGGTTTGGGGAACACCAAAAGAAAACTACAAACAAAATATATTCCTGATATATTCTGATCATATGGGAAGGGGAAACTAAGCTAATTATGATTGTTTTTAATTGTCTTTTAGATCTATGCATATCTTCATCGAGGAAGTTAGAAATTTCCTTACAAAGATAAAACCAGCAAAAAATCGGAGTAAAGCTTCCGCTCTCTCTCCTTGTGTTATCACCATAGTGCTCTTTTAAGTGATACCACAGATGTTTGGATTTCTGTCATCATGGCTGAATGATCCCGAATGAGTTTCATTTAACTAACAGAATCCTGAAGGAAGACCTTAACTCCACCTTGCTATCTAAACAGAAACTGCCATGCCATCCTGAAATTGTTCTGGAAAATGAGTGGCTTGTGACCACTCACTACCTTGTGTCTTATGAAATGAGCTCTGGCCGATGGACCATGTTGGATTCTCTGGAAGCCAAGTTGTTCTGTGTCTGGAGGAAATCCTGTGGATCTGTGACAGAGTAGAGCCAGCACACCAGACCTCGACGAGTGGCTCATGCTTGGAAAGTGTTTTGCATGAGAGCCTAGCACTTTTTTCTTTCCATTATACTTAGAAGTTTTACACCTTGACTCACTAAAGTTTGTATCATAGGATAATAAAAACATCTTGCCCCTGGTTTCATAGGTAGTAAGTGGTATTGTTAAGACTTATATCTAGTTGATTTGACTCCAGATACTGTATTATTTCTGTTTTCCCAAATTGATCCTTACCTTGTTGGCTTGTGTGAAACCCCTAACTTCCCACCATTTTTATTCTCTGCCAATCAGAATTCATCGAGTCACTGTAGTTTTTGTTATAGGGAATCAGGTCTTAATGGGATTTGCCTAAAAGTGAGCACAGTTGCTGAAGCCTTCTAAATTCTCTTCAGATTACTGTAAGTGCAGTATGTGGAATCATGTATTTTAGTTTTTCATACAACTAAATGTTGGAGCATTCCTTGCTCTCAAGATGGCATAGAGAAGCATGGAGAGTGTTCTGGTTAAGATTGCTGAGGGAGTATGTGCAGAGACCTCTCTTTACATTTTAATAGATAAAACTGATGAGTGAAAATGGAATTTTTATTTATTTTGTTTAAGATTTTATTTACTTGACAGAGAGAGAGTACACACAGGCAGGGGGAGTGACAGGCAAAGAGGAGGGAGAGACAGAAGCAGGCTCCCTGCTGAGCAGAGAGTTCAACATGGGGCCTGATCCCAGATTCCAGGACCCTGGGATCATGATCTGAGCCGAGGGCAGACACTTAACTGAGTGAGCCACCCAAGCGCTGCGGAAATTAAATTTTTAAATAAAAGAACACATGGCCAGCTATGGAGCAGGGATGGAAAAGATATGTAATAGTAAGAGGAGAGTAAGGCTTGCCCTATCCTTGTGAGGAGATGGCAGGTGAGCTTCTACATGAAGTTGCGGGAAAGATGAGGCCCCCCCATCTATGAACTAAAGGTGAAATACATTTGCCTGATCACTGTTAGAAAGTATCATTTGCCTGTGGCCTGGGGAAAAAATGGAGATACTGGTTTGATGATAAGTGAGCCTGGACTACATTCAGGTATGGGATCTTGAGAGGCAGAAACCCCCAACTCCTAACACAAGACCAAGTTTAAGTTGTATAGTCTAGATGACAGGCTGAGAGAACCATGGAACCATCATGACATGAAATGCTTGTGACAGTTAGGATTGTGTAGGGGGAAATCATTCAAGATAAAAGGAAACCCATACAAGGAATCTACTGCCATGGGATAATGAGCAGAACAAATGGGAGAAATCACATCCAAGGACATAGAAACAATGGAGGAATCTCAAAGGGTATTTAACATGTTTGTTTATTATTTTCAAAAAGATGAAAGGAGGAAATAACCAGGTTATGAACATGAGGTTATGAACACGAACAGATGGACTCCAGGAAAAATTGAAGTTGGGAATCTTGACAACGGTTGAACTTCTAGAAGCCCAATAAGTTGTAAAAACAGTGAACTAGACAAGCTGAAAGAATTTGTGAATTTAAAGAAATGAGACTGATCATGAGTGCAGGACAGAGAAGTACAGTGTTAGAAATCAGGAGGATGGCATGGATTGAGGAGGTATGCAATATGGGTCCAGTAGGAATTCTACAAGGAGATAGTAGAAGAGATAGAGAAGAAAAAGATAATGCTGAGAATTTCCGGACTTGAAGAAAAACATGCCTTCAGAAGGAAGAAGCTTATGAAATGCCAAATGAATCAACTCCTAATTACATTACAGTAAAATTGTGGAACGTTAAGGGTAAAGAAGAACCTGTGAAAGATGATAATCCGATGATAGCTGATTTCTCAGCAGCAATAGAAGCTGGAAAACTGCAGAAAAGGTGCTGAGGGAAAGCTTTTGTCCAAGAACTCTCTATCCAGCACAACCGATTCCAACGAGAATGTGAAATACAGACATCTTCACACATATGGGACCTAGTGTATCAAGAATAACTTTGAAAAGTAACAGAATACCCAACTAGCAATGGCTAACCAATAAGGGCATTTAATAACTAAGTAATAATAGAGTTGGGGTGGAAGATTCCAGAATGGTTAGTTGGCTTGATAATGGTTTAGTATTTGTATATTTCTCTTCTGAAGATGGCTGCCTTAGTTTCATGCATCATGCCTTACGTAACAGTAACCAAAGTAGGAAAGGAAATGGCAGATAAAAGTGGGCCTTCTTGTGTGTTTCTCTCTCATCAGAAAAGAAAGCCTCTCTCAGAATCCCTTCAGTAGAATTCCCCTCAAATTTCATTGGCCAGATCTAGGTCCTATGCTTACTACTAGTTCAGTCACTGGCAGAAGGAATAGGAAGGCTGACTTCCCGGACCGCCATGCTTTATCCCCTAGAACCAACCTTCGCTACCCCAACGAATCAGAGGCTTATCTTCATAAGGTGGAAGGGGCAACAGGCAGGCCTTCCACACATGGCCAGCGATTGGCTTTCTCTGGGTTAAAAAAAAAATTACGTAACTTTTAAGGATTGTTATACTAGTTTTGCCAATATAAGAGATTCTGATGGGATGAAAATTTTTTTTATGTGTTTTGCATAATTTTTTTAGTTTTATGTTACTTTCACATTGAAATGGTCTGGAGCATCATTTTGGCAACTAGAGCACTCATCTACTTTGACGTATCAGGGGGCACTGTTCTGTTAATGTATTTTTTGCCAGGACAGTATGAAGAAATAACGTGGGTTTGGGAAATAAGAAAAATGGCTTACTCACTGTGTTTTTACCGACAGCTGTCATGGTTTCCACTGAAAATGTAATCAGTGTAGGGTGATGATGGTATCTCATTTGACCATCACAACTGTCTTGTAGTTTGTATTGTCGTTTTACAGGTGAGAAAATTGAGGCACAAGAAGGCTAATATGTATGTAAATGATGACTTATGTCATGAGGGTAGGACTCAAATCATTAGTCTCTTGATTCTTTTTTTTTTTTTAAGATTTTATTTATTTATTTGACAGACAGAGATCACAAGTAGGCAGAGAGGCAGGCAGAGAGAGAGGAAGGGAAGCAGGCTCCCTGCTGAGCAGAGAGCCCGACACGGGACTCAATCCCAGGACCCTGAGATCATGACCTGAGCCGAAGGCAGCGGCTTAACTCACTGAGCCACCCAGGCGCCCTAGTCTCTTGATTCTAAATCTCATGCTCTTTTAGGCCCAAATTGAATGGACACATAAGTTTTTAAATTTATTTTGATAATAAGCTTAGATGGGAGGATGGGGTAAAAGGCTTTCTATGTGCTATGTTCACCTGATACTAGCATTTAAAGGGGCTTAGATTTTTGATTAGTTGCCATAATGTTTTAAGTATTATTGCAAGTAAGAGGAGCAGGGATGGAAGGACCTCGTACTGGAGTGAACACAAGAACACATAGACCTCCATTGTTTGCATTCCAGCTCAGGGAGATGTGGGGAGCACATAAGCCTTGTGTTCAGACACACCTGGATTCACATCCCAGCCTGACCATTAACTTTTCATCTCTGTGACATTGGGCAAGTCCTGTACCCTCTGAGCCTTCACACATTTTCCTATAAAATGGGGATCATGACCTCTTTCTTTTTTGGGTGGGTTTTTTTTTTTTTTTTTTGGTAAAGATGAATTGGGATGATGCAGTTTCTAGCAGACCTCAGGCACGCAATGCACGGTTGCTACTATAATAGTGATTATTTTGTATGAATCCATCTGTAAAGGTTCAATGTGAAGTTAACAGGTTTTTTCCAAAGTACTTCATTTAGCTCTTTCAGTTTTGGAGCTGTAGATAAGTATAAGTGTATTAGGCCTTCAGGGATATCAATTAGAACAGTGAGTTGCCTTTTTTTTTTTTTTTTTTTTTTTTTTTTTATTAGAGAGAGAGAGAGCGAGCGAGCACAGGCAGACAGAGTGGCAGGCAGAGGCAGAGGGAGAAGCAGGCTCCCCACAGAACAAGGAGCCCCATGCGGGACTCGATCCCAGGACGCTGGGATCATGACCTGAGCCGAAGGCAGCTGCTTAACCAACTGAGCCACCCAGGCGTCCCTTTTTTACCATTTTTTATCTCTGGACTTGCTCTGCCTTTGTGAATGTTCTCTTTCCCCCACTTACAGGTCCTATGGCAGTGTGTACAAAGCTATTCACAAAGAGACCGGTCAGATTGTTGCGATTAAGCAAGTTCCTGTGGAATCCGACCTGCAGGAGATAATCAAAGAAATCTCTATCATGCAGCAATGTGACAGGTAAAGGCATGTGGGGAGAACATAGTTCTGAATTAGCTGTGACTCTAGAGTTTAACATGTACGGATGCATTTACTTAGAGGTTTTGTGGAAGAGAGAGTTCAGGTGGAAAAAATCTGATGCAAAAAATGTGTGTTTTAATAGCTAGACTTTTATAGTTTCTATTCTGCATAGATTTTTTTCTTTTTTTTCAGTAAGCCCCTTTCAAAACCAGGAAGAAGAGGAGGCAGAGAGGCAGAAGGTGGTGGTGCTGACTTTTTTTTTTTTCCCCTCCTGATAGTGATCTCTTTTACTTCCTATTGTGAAAACATTTCTGCAGAGATAGCTAAGAAGAGATAATCCAAATACTTTTAGCTCTAGAAACTTTAGAATATCAGCTAGATCTAAAAAAGAGAACACTTTTTTATGTATTACTGTTCCTTCCTACATTTAAAAAAGAATTCTTCAAGCTCACAGTAGTTAAGAATTTTATATTTTGAGGAACTAAGATTTGTCAAATGTGTAAGCAGGAAGTCAGGCCACCAGGCGACCGCAGAAAAGCACGTGGTTTGCTCTGAAATTCCGTCACAACATGAGCTGGTCGCCTTGGTGGAGCAGGCTTCCCCACTACTGTTTAAAATTGAGAGAGACACAAAATCAGGGGCAACGCCAGCTCTAGGGAGCTGAAAGGAGAATGGGAACGTCTTGCATCTGAGGCCGCATCCTTTCTCCTGAAGCTCTTCTGGTCAGCAGAAAGAGCTTTGTAAAACTTTAGCATTGGAGCAGGTGGGGCTGCCTACTGGGAAATTTTGCTTGGGAGCCCTTAGATCTCACAGGCTTGGGAATGTAGTTCTTTCTCTTTTCCCTCCCTCCCTTTATTTTATTCTTTACACTCTTGTGGTTACTCTTTGTTAGACAAAACCCTCGTATTTCTTTACCAGATTGCCCAGAGTTAGGTAGAAGGTTTCCTTTTTCTCTGCTATGAGTTATAGTATGGAAGCTCTTCCCGTAGGCACACTGGGACTGTGTCACTGCTTTTTTTTTTTTTTTTTTTTTAGATTTTATTTATTTATTTGACAGAAAGAGATCACAAGTAGACGGAGAGGCAGGCAGAGAGAGAGAGAGAGAGAGGGAAGCAGGCTCCCTGCCGAACAGAGAGCCCGATGCGGGACTCGATCCCACGGACCTGAGATCATGACCTGAGCCAAAGGCAGCGGCTCAACCCACTGAGCCACCCAGGCGCCCCTCAAGAGTGGATGCTTAACTGACTGAGCCACCCAGGCACCCCAAGGGACTTCGCCACTTCTGATATGCTACATAAGAGCTGTGTTTCAAACAGAGTATGCAAATATCTCTAATGAAAGAAGAGTTATTTCCAAGAGCCTACTCTGTGCTAAGCATGGTGAAGAGTACAGAGAAATACCAGGCAGAGTTGTTATCCTCTGGGAGTTCATAGACAAATTGGACAGGCCAGGCATATATGTGTACAAGAAAATCTAGCCAACGATACAGGATTATACAGAACATGTTCCAGCAGTAAGTAGCTGAGATTACTGCCTTGTAAAGGCAGTAAGTAACTGCGGGAATTTAAGGAAGGGAGAGCAGAGAGTTACTCATCCATGTCTTCATTAATTGTGTGTGTATGTGTTTCCTGCTATCCTTGTCATTGGCATGTTTCCCAAGGGTGAAGGGGCATTTGAAATTCTGAGCATTACTGAAGCTGAGTAGGTTTTAGCATCTCCGATTGTTATGCAACGTTATTTAGCCCTGATAACAATCTAACCCGTTAAAGCTGGTAGCTCTCAGTGGGCAGATTATTTCATTTTAATAGGATGTTTGACTTTTCTCTGAAATCCCTTTTGGTATCTCTCTTTAAGCTTGAGACCCAAAATTCCAGGTCTGAAACTGAATATTTTTCTTTTATAAATTTTTTTAAAAAGATTATTTTAGAGAGAGGGAGGGAGAGAGCACAGGTGCACACGAGCAGTGGGGAGGAGCAGAAGGACAGGGAGACAAGCAGACTTCTTGCTGAGCGGAAAGCCAGACAAAGGGCTTGATCCCAGGACTCTGAGATCATGACCTGAGCTGAAATCAAGAGCTGGGCAGTCAACTGACGGAGCCACCCAGGCGCACCCTGAATATTTTCTTTTTATAATAGATTGTGGTGTGATTTTTTTTCTTATTACAAAGTACATGTGACTTCTTGGAAAAATGCAAATAAAAAGAAAATAAAATCATTTTCCCCTTTGGAGAGATAATCATTGTTAAATGCTCTTTGGTATACATTTCCTTCCATATCTCTTTTTGGAGTTTCACCATGCTTACAATTATGTAACCTATACTCACTCTTTCTTTCTTTCTTGTAAGCAGGATCTCTTCTCATGTTATCAAATATTCTTCTATAATATGTTTCTTGGATTCATGGTTAATCCATTATATGTCTGTATCATTATTTCTTAATTGAACTCCCTCATGTTGGACACTTAGATGGTATCTAAGTTTTCATTGTTAAAATAGTACTGTGGTGCTAAACTATTTCTTTTTGAATAGCTGTAGTTCTTTTCCTTGGATGAACTGTATATCTAGAAGTGCAACTTAAAGGACCCATACATTTTCTCACTTTGGTTATTTATTATTTAGAAAAGTATTATTTATTACTTACATTTTTATCAAGAGGGTGTCTATTTTATTTTATTTATTTATTTTTATTTTTTTATTTTTTTAAAGATTTTATTTATTTATTTGACAGAGAGAGATCACAAGTAGGCAGAGAGGCAGGCAGAGAGAGAGGAGAGAGGAGGAAGCAGGCTCCCTGCTGAGCAGAGGGCCCGATGCGGGGGCTCGATCCCAGCACTCTGGGATCATGACCTGAGCTGAAGGCAGAGGCTTTAATCCACTGAGCCACCCAGGCGCCCCGAGGGTGTCTATTTTAACCTTAAATATGAATAATTGGTCTTTTGAGCAGAGAAGTTTTCATGTATTGAAGGTTGTTCCACTAATTTGTATTATTACTTTCTCTTTAGCCCTCATGTAGTCAAATATTATGGCAGTTATTTTAAGAACACGGACTTGTGGATTGTTATGGAGTACTGCGGGGCTGGTTCTGTGTCTGATATCATCCGATTACGCAATAAGACGGTAAGTTTACCTTCTAGAACAATGGGCTTGGGCTGGGCCCTGGCCTTGTATTTGTGGGTACTCTTCTACTGCCATATCCAGAGAGGTGACTGTCAGATTTCCCTTTCCCATGATTCTTTCCCCCTCTGCTTTCTGATGCCTCCTGAAAGTGGTGTTTTTGACACCAGCCCAAGCCAATGATATTTAGCATGTTTTGGGAGAGAAAACAATGACTATCAAATCTTGGTGAAGCAATGAATTTTAAATGTTTAAATTTAGATTTGGTTTTCTCCCCCTACCCAGCATGTTCACAGATTAATTTCCTCTACATTCTATTTTTATTTTTTATTTTTTTTTATTTGAGAGAGAGAGAGAGTGAGAGGGGGACCATGAGAGTGGGGTGAGGGGCAGAGGGAGAAGCAGGCTCCCTAGCAGCCTGCTGCGGGGACTCGATCCTGGGACTCCGGGATCATGACTTGAGCCAAAGGCAGACACTTAAGCAACTGAGCCACCCAGGTGCCCTTCTACTTTCTTTCAATCAGAGAATAACCTCTGTGTAAGATTATTTGCCCTTACTGTGATCACTGGGATAAAAGCTAAGAGTCAAGCGTTTTAATTCAGGTTCAGTTGCTTATTCAGGAAATATTTCTAGAATACGGTTCTAAGCCCTAGGGATAGTAAAGAAGACAACAACCCTGCTCTTGTGCTTGTACATTTTCTAGTAGGGCAACCACAAAGCCAACTGTTGGTAACGAGAAAAGAAATACCAGATAGTGATTATTTCTTTGAAGGAACGGACTGGCAGAGTGCTCAGTGAGCTACTTGAGAGTGGATGGCTGAGAAAGGCCACTCAGGGAGGTAACATTTAAAGATGGAGCTATGACTTCTAAAAGACATTCTAGGTAGGGCAATAAGCAGTGCAAGGATCCTGAGGCTAGAACAGTTTGGCACAAAGAAGGCCACTGTGAGTAGAGGGGAGAGGTGAGAGGACCTATAGGAGATAAGGTGAGACAGGGGAGCAGGCCTGGATTCTGTTGGTATTGTTGGCCATGGTAATGAGTTTGCCTTTTATTCTGACTATAATAGGAAGCCACTGCCACGTTCTAAGCATGTCAGGAGACATTTGATGATGTACAATTTAGAAGATAAACTGTGGTTTCTGTGATAAACTGTGGCTTCTGTGTGGACTGTGAATGGATAAAAGTAGAAGCTAGAGACATCTTAGCCTTTAGTTTTTTTGTTTTTTTTTTTTTGTTGTTTTAATGAGAAAAACAGGAATAATACCTATGTTAAATATTTGTAGAATTGTGAAAATTAATTTAAATATGGGAAAGTACTTTGTACTTTATGAGGCACTCTAGGAATTTAAGGTGAGAATATTTTAAAACTCAGTTCTATCCTCAAAAAATTAAAAATAGAACTACCCTAGGATCTAGTAATCACACTACTGGGTATTTTCCCAAAGAATACAAAAGCTGATTCTAAGGGATATATGCATGCCCGTGTTTATTGTAGCATTATTCACAGTAGCCAGATTCTGGAAGCAGCCCAAGTGTCTATTGGTAGATGGATGGATAAAGAACATGTAGGGTGTGTGTGTGTGTGTGTGTGTGTGTGTGTGTGTGTGTGTTTATAAATATTATTCAGCCATAAAAAAGAATGAAATCTTGTCATTTGCAACAATACGAATGAATCTAAAGAGTATAATGCTAAGCAAAATAAGCCAGAGAAAGACAAATATCATACGATTTCATTCGCATGTGGAGTTTGAGAAACAAAGCAAATGAACAAAGGGAAAAAAAAGAGACAAACCAAAAAAACAGACTCTTAACTGTGGGGAGCAAACAGATGGTTACCAGAGGGGAGATGGTTGGGGGATGGGTGAAATAGGGGCTAGGGTTTCAGAGTACGCTTATGGTGAGCACTGAGTAATATACCCAATTGTTGAGTCACTGTATTATACACCTGAAACTAATAGAATGCTCTATGTTAACTATACTGGAATTAAAATAATAATAATTTAAAAATAAGAAAACTCAGTTGTAACTTTTGGGTTATTTATATGACTATATCCTTTTCTTAATTTACATTATTCAGAGTTAGTATGCTTTTCTAATCAAATAGCAAGTTCTTTAGCTAGGAATTATATCTTACCATAAGTTATATTTAAAGAAGTCCCAAAGCTTGAATAATTTATTGAATTAAAAATTGGGTTCCAGGGGCATCTGGGTGGCTCAGTTGGTTGAGTCCAACTCTTAATCTCAGCTCAGGTCTTGCTCTCAGGCCCCAGTGAGTTCAAGTCCCGCATCGTGCTCTGTGTTAGGCATGGAGCCCACTTAAAAAAACAAAACAAAACAAAAAAAAATTGGGTTCAGGCCTTCTTATGTGCAGCATTAAGTTACTTTGTTTCAGGTATCTTGAAGCAATCCAAAACTAATTTTAATGGTGCATTTCATGTTTTAATATTAGTTTATTGTATTTATCTAGTTTTTAGCTATCAAGTGCTGGTCTTTAATTATTACACATTATTTTGTAAAATGTCTTAATTCTATCTCATCCAGCATGATAGTCACTAGCTACATGTGGTTACTGAGGACTTTAAATATGGCTAGTCTGAATTGAGTTGTGCTATAAGTATAAAATACCAGATTTTGAAGAATTATTACAAGAAGAAAAAAAACTTTACATTTTTTATATATTGATCACATGTTGAAATGATAATATATTGGATAAATATGGTTAAAATATATTATCAAAATTAATTTGGGGGTGCCTGGCTGGCTCAGTTGGAGGAGTGTATAACTCTTGATCTTGGGATCATGAGTTCGAGCCCCACGTTGGGTATGGAGATTACTAAAAAAAAAAGTAAACGTAAATAAATTTTGCTTTTTTTAAAAAATGTGGCTCCTAGAAAATTGAAAGTTCTGTTTGTGGCTCACATTATATTTCTATGGGCAGTGCTCCCTTAACTGATTAGCTTAACTGGTTAGAATAAGGCGTCAGTAAGTCAGTCACATGAATGTTGTTCTCTTAGGCCACAGAAGGTACCCACACTCCAGCTTGCAACCTTGCCAGTAGTGTTTGCTTGGCCTGCAGTGAGAGTGCTGTCATTTGTAAGCACAAATTACTTGTTGTGCTTCAGCTTCATTTTCTGTAAAATGGTGATGATATTAGTATTTATTTCATGTGATTTTTGTAAGGATTTAATGAGATAACAAAAATAGTGCCTACCATAGAATAAATGCTTAATAATTAGCTCTCTTTAATTTTATTAGCAGAGTGTCTGGCTCATAATTGATGCTTATTAACTATTTATTGATTGTTAGCATGGTAGTTATTAAGCCATGTGCATTCTTATACTCCTTATTCATTTGATTTTCATGACATTCTTGAAGAAAGCTGGTAGTCCTGTTTTATTGGTCCTATTTATTGAGAAACTGAGACCAAGAGAAGTTCAACGTAGGTCCCACAGCTAGAACATAGAGCCAAGGGTAAAACTAGGTCTTTCTAATCCCCGTTCCCTTGTTTTTTGCACCACAGCATGCTCTCTTCTAAATGTGAATTGTTTGTCAGAAGGGAGGCTGAGAGTTAGTTGATGGATTGCATTTGTTTTCTCACTGGAGTCGTGTGTGCAGGAAATCAGCACGGGCTGAGCACGTATTCTGTCGATCAGCAGTCTTGTTTTCACTTATTCATCATCATTCAACAAACATTTTTTTGGGACCTGCTACGTGTCAGGTGGCTTTTTGGGGGCCAGGGATACAATAGTAAACAAGTCGAAGACATTTTATTTTTTATTTATTTTTAATAAGTTTGAAGATTTATGTATTTATCCGAGAGAGAAAGAGAATGCGGGCATGCTTGTGCGCCTGTGTGGGGAGGGGCAGAGGGAGAGAATCTTCAAGCAGACCCCCCCCCCCGACCGTGGAGCCTGACATGGAGCTTGATCTAATGATCCTGAGATCATGACCCAAGCTGAAACCAAGAGTTGGATGTCCTTACCCAACTTAGCCACCCAGATGCCCCCAAAGACATTTTTAAAATGGGGCTTATGTTCATAATAGGGAAGGTAACACATAATAGGTGTACAAATATCATATAATATGTCAGATGGGGATAATACTGCATGTACCAATAAGATAGGATAAAGGGTAGAGAATGATCTAGGAATGGAAGGAACTGGGGAAGGCCTCTCTGACTTTCTGGATGAAGACCATTGTAGACAGAGAGTACATGAGGTGAAAAGGCCCAGAAGTGCAAGTGTGCTTTGAGTGTTCGAGAAACAGTAAGGAGGGCTATGAGGCTGAAACAGAATGAGCAAGGTAGAAAGTGTAGAGGATGAAGGTAGCTGGGGACCAGATCATGTAAGACTCTGTTGAGGACTGGTTTTCATTTTGAGTGGCTTAGGAAGCCGTTGATTGGAGGGTTTTGAGCAGCTCTGGCTTGCATTTTCAAAGGTTGATTATGGCAGGCTGCCACGTGGGAAATACACTGCCCAGGGTCAAGGGCAAAAGCAGCGAGACCAATTAGGAATTTATTAGAATAGTTCAGGCAGGACATGCTGGTGGCTTGAACTAGGGTGAATAATGATTACAGAGGACGTATTTGGATATATTTTGAAGTTAGGGAAGAGCCAGGGATGACTTCAAGGTGTTTGGCCAGGGCAACTGAAACTGCCTTGCCCTGAGGGAGAAGACTGTGGGAAGAACAGAGTTGGTGGGGTGGGGTGGCGGTAGAAGTACAGAATTTGATTTTGACGTCTTCTGCTGATGATGCTTGTTAGGTTTGCAGCTGGAGATGCTGTGTAGGCAGGTACGTGAATCTAATGTTTGGGGAGAGATGGGACAGGACATGTAACTTTGGAAGGGGTTAATGGAGTGGTGGTATAAGCTGTCAAATGCTGCCACAGGTTGAAGACCTTACATTCTAGGAAGGGAGCTTGGATCTGATTTTTTTCCCTTTATTGAATGTAAAATGCTATAAGCTGATGGAATTTTAATCTTTCATTCTTTTTTTAGTTAACAGAAGATGAGATAGCTACGATATTACAATCAACGCTTAAGGGACTGGAATACCTTCATTTTATGAGAAAAATACACCGAGATATCAAGGCAGGAAATATTTTGCTAAATACAGAAGGACATGCAAAACTTGCAGATTTTGGGGTAGCAGGTCAACTTACAGTAAGTAAAAATGTTACTTTTCTTGATAACTTTCTATCTAGAGAAGGAATTCCTTTCATTTAGTCTTTTTTTTTTTCAATAAAATACTCAATTTCATTATATTTGTAAAAAGGTAATGGAAGGTACCACTAAGTTACGAAAGAGCTCCTGGGTTATTTTAGATCTTTTCCTGGGGTTTAGGTCCCATGGTTTAACTTTGGATAAAAATAAAAGCTAAAACAAGAATGACAGGGTAGAAGTTGAAATTCTATTCATCGTATTTGCAAAAGGAAGAAAAATTCAGTCCCAACTGCTTTTCTTGAATAAGACCTAACACCATCTCAACTGGGTAGCAGTTGGCAGTTACTTTACTGAAAACACTCCTCATCCGGTTCCCGGATACAGTCTTTTGACTCTCCTCCTACCTCACCAGTGTATGGCAAAGACAAAAACCACGTTTTCAAAACAGGAAATACAGAATTACCTGATTTTGAAGAATACCTAAGTATGTATGACATATACGTAGAAACATAGAAACAGTTCTGGACAGATACATACTAAAATTCACAACAGCGATATGTATCCGTTTTCTTGGGTGGTAGTAAAAATACTTTTTGTTTGTTTAGGGCTGGTATTAGGTAGAATTTTTTGTTTGTTTTTTGGTTTTTGTTTTTAAATCTGCCTGGATTATGTTAGGGAGTTTATTAATAAAGTATTGCAATGGCACAAAAATTGCTTTGATGTTTAAAAAAGAAAGTCAGAAATTTATTCCATTTTGTGATTACCGGGTCTTTCAAAAGATTTTGTTATTAACATATAAAGTGCTTTGAGGGAAAAATTTATGCTTCCAACTATAGTATATAAATGTATATAAATCCATTTTTGGGGTGCCTGTCTGGCTTAGTAGAGAGTGTGACCTTTGATCCTAAGGTTGTGAGTTCAAGCCCCACATTGGGTGCAGCCTACTTAAAATGAATAAATCAAATAATTAATTAAAAAAAAGAATGTACCCATTTTCCCTTATATTTGCCAATACCAAGTGAGCAATAAATTGTATTTTTTAAATCATTTTGAAACAATATTTTTACATTTGATTATTGGCCATTTATAATTCTTCTTTTGTAACTTAACTGTTCATCTTAATTTTGCTAATTGTGTTGGACTTTTTAAAAAAAATTACTTGCTGAAAAAGATAAACCAAAGCTTAAAAAAATGATATGTTAAAATTGTTACTCCTTTGTTATTTATGTTGAAACATCATTTTGTATTTTGCTAGTTATCTTTTTACTTTGATTATGGTTTTTCTTTAAATGCCGAAGGTTCCAAATTCTATATATCCCTTTTATATTATGGTTTCTGCCTTCACTGTCACCTATAAAAGTCCTTTTCTGCTCCAACATTGTATAACTGTTCATCTATACTTCCTTTAGTACTTTGTGGATTCGTTCTTTGTATTTAAATTTTCAACCTATTTGAACTTCCTTTGGTAGAAATGTAAGTTAGGAAATTAAGTATAGAATTTTGCAAATGACTAGCCAGATGCCCAGCACTTTTTTTGTCCTTTGCTTGTAATTTGGAATTACATTTTAATCATATCTTCAAGCTATGTGTGTGTGTGTGTGTGTGTGTGTGTATACGCACATATAAATACACATACAATGCCATTGTCTTTTTCTGGATTTAATATTTTCCCATGTTATGCTCCTGTACCAATATAACTTTGTCATACAGATCAAGGTGGGTTAGTATCTACTCATTATTCTCAGTTTTCAAAAAATTTCTAGATATCTAAATACTCCTTTTGAAATAATGAGTATTTCAAGGATAAAATTTTTGAAAACAACTTTGCGTAGCCCCATTTGGAAACTGCAAATTTAAGTTTCGGAGCAAAGGAAATGACTAAGCGATGTTAGTTCCTGTGTTAGTTTTTACATAGGACCAACTAAGTAAGATCGATTTAAAAATATTACCTATCATTTGCTCCTGACTGGCCTAGTCTAACTGAAGCCATAGGCATTTCAGAAGGAACAGGAGTGACGGCAAGTCCTGTTGCATATTTAGTTCTGTTTAAAATCCTCTTCCCAAAATACAAGAGCTCTAGAAAGGTTCTCTTTCATTAAGGCCATACTGTTCTGGGGAAGTAGGCAAATAATAGTTATTTGCCTATGTGAGCTAGACTCATACATTTTTCTCTAAGACCCAAACTAAGACTTTCTCTATGTATACATTCTATTTTATAGAATATATTCTATGATAAAAAGAAAAATTATGTGTGTACATAGATGTATACAAATATGATTTTTCTTTTTTAAATTTTGAATAGCACATTTACTGTATATTCATGTAACTCATCAGAGTGTTATAGGAGTATATGGGATGGAAAGTGAAAGTCCTTCGTGATTCCACCTTCTAGATACAACTGTTGTTAATAGTTCAGTGTGTATGGAGATTTTTCTTTTGCTATCCATGTAACAACAATACTTGTTATTATTGGTTGCTGTTTTGTCATATATACATAATATATACGACAATATAATTATATATAACTTTGCAACCTGATTTTCTCTTTATAATATGCCTTGTACATTTTTCCATGCCAGGAAAATGAATCTATCTCCTTTTTAAAAAAATATATGGTGGATGGGGCACTTGGGTGTTTCAGTTGGTCTGATTCCTGATTTCAGGTCAGGTCATGAGATCAGGGCTGTGGGATCAAGCCCCACATCAGGTCTCATGCTTAGCAGGGAGTCTGCTTGAGATTCTCTCTCTCCCTCTATCTCCCCCTGCCCCTCCCCCCACTTGCATGTACCCTCTCTCTCGAATATAAATAAATCTTTTTTTTTTTAAGATTATTTATTTATTTGACAGATAGAGATCACAAGTAGGCAGAGAGGCAGGCAGAGAGAGAGAGGAGGAAGCAGGCTCCCTGCTGAGCAGAGAGCCCGATATGGGGCTCGATCCCAATCATGACCTGAGCCGAAGGCAGAGGCTTTAACCCACTGAGCCACCCAGGCGCCCCTCGAATATAAATAAATCTTTAAAAAAAAAATTTGAGTGAGAGCATGTGTGTGAGTAGGGGTTGGGGGGATGGGGGGGCAGAGGGAGAGGGAGAGAAACAGACTCTCTGCCTAGCGGGGAGCCGGACTTGGGGCTTGATCCCCAGGGCCTGAGATCATGACCTGAGCCAAAAATCAAGAGCTAGATGCTCAACTGACTAAGCCACCTAGGCAGCCCTAAATAAATCTTTAAAAAAATTACAGTGGATATTTAATTTACCCCTTTAGATGGTCATTTGAGTTGTTTCCTTTTTTCTTTTTCTTGTCTCTACTACAGATATTTCTCCAATACCTGTGCATGTGTATTCGGGCACCTGCACATAAGATCCATTTCTAGAAAAAGATTTGGATCAAAGGATATGCACACTTAAAGTTTATAAATATTGCCAAATTGCCCACAAAAATTGTACCAATTTATACTCTAGTAACGTTATTCCAGTGCCTGACTTTCTGTGCTGTTATCAGCACTCGTTATTATTAACCTTTTAAGTTTTTGTCAACCTCATTTTAGTGTTTGTTATTTTTTGCAGGTTTTTTAATGTGTGTGTTTTAAGAATTGAGAATCTTTTATGTTTCCAGGTCATTTGAATTTCTTTTGTGACCTGCTCAGTTGTGCATTGAGTGTGGTTTTTATATGTATCCCAAGTATAAGATGCTTCTTATTGTTGGAAAAGTCTCTTTTCCTCACTAGTTTTAATGCTTAGTGTTGATCTCTACTTTTCTCTGTTTTAGGATACCATGGCCAAAAGAAACACAGTGATAGGAACACCATTTTGGATGGCTCCAGAAGTGATTCAGGAAATTGGATACAACTGTGTAGCGGACATCTGGTCATTGGGAATAACTGCCATAGAAATGGCTGAGGGAAAGCCGCCATATGCTGATATCCATCCAATGAGGGTAAGGAAACCAGTAGGGTGGTTAGCTCTTGATTGTCATTAGAAAGCTGGTGACTGTCTACGGCCATACCACCCTGAACGCGCCCGATCTCGTCTGATCTCGGAAGCTAAGCAGTGTCGGGCCTGGTTAGTACTTGGATGGGAGAAAGCTGGTGACTTACTCGATTTAGGTACCAAACAGCAAATGAATTAATTGTATATGATTGGTAAGTGTCAGTCTAGACTCCTAGTTGTCGTCACTGATCAATTCAAGTGTGATCTACCACCTCCATGTCAGGGGTTGTGTGTTGATAGCCATCTGACAGGACACAGGGCACAGAAATGTTTGGTTTGGCTTGTGCAATCTATATATTTTTAAAAATTTAGGTGCTCACATTTTAACATAACATTAACTGGAGCTGGGCAGTGGTCCCCTCCTTTATACAGGGCACTGGCTTTCCATTTTATCAGTCTCCAAGATTCCCTAACCACCAAGTATCCCTTGTCACTTATCACAGTGTTTTCTGTACTGTTATACTCATACTAGTGTTAGGAGGAAAGCAAACTATTTTTTTGAACTCATGTCACTAACACCCAGCCCATTTTGTTTGTTATCTTTTTCCTGCCTTGCCCTCAGAGGTATTTACATGGGTAAGTTCTGCTTCATAGATTCCCTCGACTCCTCTCGTCTGGAGGCTCTGTACTTTGCAGCCTCCATGGATTTCCAGAATAGTAAGGGCCCTTCGGTCCAGTCTCCACTGAAGCTATCACCGTGACACCCTAAGGGGTTTGTAAGCTGTACCCACCCCAGACCTCTCATCACAGCACTGTTAAAAAGCCTCGGCCCTGCCTTCCTTGGTGCCTGCATAGTCCTCCATACCTCCCAGCCCAGCTCCTCCGCTTTTGTTAATTAGTTCTTCCATTAAAAGGCTTAACACTTTTAAAAAAGTATTTATGTGCTCAAAGATAAGGTCCCCTCTTTTTGGGGGGCAGAAATGGGGAAGGGTGGGAGGATTTATTAGTAGATTTAAGAATATAAGTTAAGCTGCTTATTACAGAGTTGTTTTTTTTTTTTTAATTTGCCTCTTCTTTTATTGGACAGTAAATAATAGTTTTAATTTTTTGAAATAGAAGAATTTAACTGCATTGTGGTATTCTGGTTTTTGTTTTTGTTTTTTTTTCAAATATGTTAAATTGCCTCGGCCTGGACGTTAATGAATCTGTTGTGATTTGAGGGACTTTCCTGTTTATGATCTCCTCATATTCACTGCTCACATCTAGTGGTGATGGTGACTTTTATGGGGAGGGAAATTTGACCACTGTGGGGCTGAGATGATCTTCAGGCTACCAGTGCTCTCAGGTCTTGCCTTTTCACTTTGAAGGCAGTGTACTGTGGTTAGCAAAAACCAAAATAAACTTGCTAGATACTGTGAGGTTGAGGGAACAAAAATACATATGAAAGAAGGAGAAAGAGAACTATAACAACTTCTCTAATTGTCATACTTTCTACTGTGAGACACAGACTTTTGTTGGCATTTGGGTGGGCTGATCAGTGGATAAGAGGAAAATAATTTTTTTAAACTTCAAAGGTATCTCTGGTTGTATTTTCATTGGTGCATCACTTTTATTTTACCCCCCCACAAATTTTTTTTTAACTAGGCGATCTTCATGATTCCCACCAACCCTCCCCCCACGTTTCGAAAGCCAGAACTGTGGTCTGATAACTTCATGGATTTTGTGAAGCAGTGTCTTGTAAAGAGTCCTGAGCAGAGAGCCACGGCCACTCAACTCCTACAGGTATGAATCTCCCCAGGATGCTGCCTGTTTCATTCACATACTGGCCAAAAGATGCTGGCAACCCACCTGTAGGGAGATGGTAAAGAAGTAGAAGACATTTCCTGCCTCTAGGGAGCTTTGACTCTGAGTAGAAAAGAATGTTAAATCATTGAACAAGACAATAATGCAAGAAAATGGAGGGCTCTGTGGGATCAGAGATTGGGAACTGACATTTAGTGAGCACCTGCTGTGTGCTGCGTGCCATTTAGTCATCACAGACACCCTGGGAGGGATGGCTATTACTGCAGTTTTATAGGTGAAAAAATGGAAGCTTAGAAAGGTTAACTCATTTAGAGTCAATCAGCTGAGAAACAGCAGAGCAAAGACTAGAACTTAGGTCTTCTTGGTTCCAAAGCAGGAGCACCCACAAGTCTATCCACTTCTGATGAGGAATTGAGATTAGTGGTAGGTGCTCACCGCTGTCCTGGAGCAGGGAACCTCCGTGCGTGGGCCTGGAAGAATGGGAGGGGTTTGTAGGCGGTCTGCTCAGTGGTTAGGAGGTTGGATTCAGCAGTCACACTGCCCAGGTTTGAATCCTGGCCTCCTGTTTACTAACTTTGTGACCTTGGGCAAATAACACAACCTCTCTGTTGTTTTAGTTTTCTTATCTATAATTAGAGACCAAATACCCTCATATGTCGTGAAGATTAAATGATATAATAGTGTAACTTTACATAATGTTTCACACATATTAAAAGTAATATGTTGTGGATTTGACAAGCATCTGTGGTTTGTTACTGGGCTAGGCCAATGGTTTTCAGCCATGTCAGACCCAGTGCCCCCCTTTTTAATAGTATGTATATTTGTAATACTTTCACTGCTGTTCTGGATTGAAATTCTTAGACAATAAAATCTGTTTATGGCCATAATTTAAAAAGAGTATAATGTGGATGACATAATGAAGGCATAAAGATTTATAATAAAGTGTGTGTCAGTATAGAGAGAGGGGCTCTAGCTTGACTCAACTTGCAGACATAATGAGGTAGTTATATACCTCTACCTAGAACCATAAATGAGTTTAGAGTTAAAAGCAGTAAGAACAGAAACCATTCCATTCAAGCAATACAGGACAGCAAATGGATGGACACTGGCATAGAAGTGATGTTAAATGATAACAGACCAGGCTTATTTGTATGTGATAAGAGGAGGGAAATGATCTTATAGATTTTCAAAGCGGAGAGAAGAGAGAACAAGGAAATACGATATTCTTGAAAATGAGCCTGGGTTGGTCTTATTTCTAAGTGTATTGACAGAGTCCTTTCCTGCCGGGAGGGGTTACTGATGAAGTTTTATGGAAAATAAATCTCTTTTGCAATCCCACCATGTGCTGAGGCATACTTCTAATCTCCTGAGTACTTACAGAGGCCTTAGAGACCATATATCCTCTGGTGGGTGCTGGGGAATAGAGAACAGGTTGCAAAGAGAAACACTGGGGGGACAGTGTCCGAATCAGTTGGGAAGACCCCAAAAGAAATTCCAGACGTAACTTCCCAACTGTGTGAATTTCTTATTGTACTACCAACACAAATAACAAAAATGTACAGTGGTATTAATATTAAAAAATTCAAGCATTTTTGGTATTCATTTACATTCCATTATTTTATTATTTATATATTTATTATTTATTTCATCATTCCACACTATCCCTGTGTTTCAAGTGTCTTTGCTGAATGATATTCGGGTCTACATCTCTTATGTATTTGTGACCAGTTTTAGTATTTCTGCGGTAACTACAATTTTGTACTAAAACCCTTTTTTTTTTTACCTAAATTTGTAGTTGGCAATGCTAGGTAGCACATTGTATAGGAAGAATAAGCAGGGTGAGTAAATTATTCGGTGCTATTTAAACAATATCTTTATGACACTTAAGTCTTACCCTCTAAAATCATCTCTTAAATTACTGGACTTTTCGCTTATCTCTTGAAAAAAATTTGGAGTTTTATGTACTGAAGCGTATCTATACTCTGCGATATTTGAAAGATGCGCAGAATGTGCCACAGTTCACTGTCGTGTGGGACCGTTCCACACCTTGAAGGCTTGCTGGTGTCCCTGGCTCCCCTGACTTGCCCTCCGTGTTCTCCAAACACTGTGACCGCTCCCAGCTCCCAGCATGTTTAGCAAACTTCCTCTAGGGGGCGATACCACCCTGTTGAGAATCTCTAGATTCGGCAGCGAGAAACAGAGGAGACTTTGGCAGCCAGGCTGAAAAAGATGGGCAAAGCCCGAATGCGCGTGTGGTCAGAGTTATAAATTGAGTGTGGTTTCATGGCGCTCACCCAAAACAGAAAGAGAAAGAAGAGATTCGTGGACTGAGCAGATGGTATCCAGTCCCTCCAGTGTGCCAGGCGCTGGGTGGGCGGGCACTGGTGCCCTCGATACCATCTCCAGTGTTGTCCTCTTTCTCATTGAAGCACCCGTTTGTCAAGAGCGCCAAGGGGGTGTCGATCCTGCGGGACCTAATTAACGAGGCCATGGATGTGAAGCTGAAACGCCAGGAAGCCCAGCAGCGGGAGGTGGACCAGGACGACGATGAGAACTCCGTGAGTGGCAGGCCCCGCCGTGGGCCTCGGGCATTTGTGCGTATTATTTCCTGATTGCCGGGTCAGGTGAGATGAGTGGGGGGGTAACAGGTCAGCCTGGGGCTGGGGATGCCCCTTGCATGAATTATGGCCTGCCCGGGACACTGCTAAGGGCTTGCTGAGGTCGTGCTCATTCTTCTCACAGTGCTTCCTAAGACACTTCCAAATTTTACTCTCTGGCCCCCTTATCATTTCTTCCATTTACCTTTTTTTTTTCTCTCTTTTTTTTTTTTTTATTTGGAAAAGCAAATGTTCAGGTATGAAACTTGGTTTTTTATGCCCTTTGGGGGATCAAGGATCAGTACTAAAATGTACATTTTATACCCGCAGACTCCCTCATAAGCCTGAGATTCCAAGGGTGTTCACCTCTATGTTATAAACTATTTTTTTTTAAAGATTTTATTTATTTATTTGACAGACAGAGATCACAAGTAGGCAGAGAGAGAGAGAGGAGGAGGCAGGCTTCCCACTGAGCAGAGAGCCTGATGTGGGGCTCGATCCCAGGACCCTGGGATCATGACCTGAGCCGAAGGCGGAGGCTTTAACCCACTGAGCCACCCAGGCGCCCCTGTTGTAAAACTATTTAAAAAACAAACAAACCCAGGGGTGCCTGGGTGGCTCAGATGGTTGGGCTTCTACCTTCGGCTCGGGTCGTGATCCCGGGGTTTTGGGATCGAGTTCTGCGTCGGGCTCCCTGCTTGGCGGGGAGACTGCTTCTCCCTCTCCCTCTGCTACTCCCCCTGCTTGTGCCTTCTTTCTCTCTATCAAATTAATGGGTAAAATCTTTAAAAAAAATGGCTGTACTCACAGGGGCTCACACTCATGACCCTGAGATCAAGAGCCGTGGGCTCCTCTGACTGAGCCAGCCAGGCACCCCTCTGTTGTGAAACCCTTATGAAAGAGAGAGGAAGGGGAGAGGGAGAGGGTCCTCCCGGGTTAGATATGCCACTCTTGCCTGGCTGATTTTATGTTCTTCTTTGGTTAAGTAAGAGTGCTCTCAGTTCTCAGGGGTATGGGTCTAGCACCCCAGTTGGCATCAAATCCTGAAATGCTTGCACTGAGATCAATAATAGTAATTCCAAAGACTCAGGCCTTTTGATCCAGTCGGGCCTGATTTGAGGTTTTGCCCTCTTGCAGGAGGAGGATGAGATGGACTCCGGCACGATGGTTCGAGCAGCAGGTGATGAGATGGGTACTGTCCGGGTAGCCAGCGCCGCGAGTGACGGAGCCAGCACTATGATCGAGCACGGGGACACATTGCCATCGCAGCTGGGCACCATGGTGATCAACGCAGAGGATGAGGAAGAGGAAGGGACCATGAAAAGTAAGGCTCTGCTTAAATGTACTCTCTCCTCGGACAGCCCCTGCGCACTGCAGAGAAAATAGGCCCTTGTGGTCCACACGGGCTCGGGCTGGAGTCGTTTTCTGGTTGTGCAGGGTGAGGGTAGGGCGGGGTGCAGGAGAGGAGAGTTGGCCTGAGACAGCAGAGGCAAGAACGCATCAGCAGTGAGGAAGGACCTTCTTCGGAACCAGAACGGCCAGCTCTCATTGAATGTTGTCCTTTTCTCCTCCTTTGCTCCGCGGAGGCAAGCCCGTGTATTGTTTTGATGCATAATTCAAAGTGTGTTGAGACTCTGAACTATTTACTATAAATGTCTTCAGTCTATTTTCTGTTTTCTGATAGCCAATAGTTAGGATGACTGTCCAGGTTTGAAAGTCCAGTCGCGTCCCTTCTAGTTGGATCTCTGCTGCACTTCTTACCCTGCTCATTCTTTTTGGCCTGTGGCCGCGGCCTGACACTAGGGCTTGGCTCCCATCTCAGGCTGCCTGTCATCTTCTCTGATCTTCTGTTGTTTCCCGTTCCTTTCTCTGCATCACAGACCAACTCACAGAGGAAAGGAATTTGGAATACAAATGGTAATAATTGAGTTCTGGATGCACATTTTAGCCTGAGCCTTTCATAGCCTTAAGTCTTTATGATCTTTTCATTATCTTTCCTCCCCGACTTTTTAAAGTTTAAAGGTCCTTCCTTTAAACCAGGGAGCAGCAACCTATGGTTCACAGGCCAAATCCAGCCCACCACCTGGTTTTGGCAGTAAACATTTATCAGAACATAGCCGTGTCCATTCATTTACATATTGTCTGTGACTGCTTTTCTGCCACAGAAGCAGAGTGAGTGGTTGTGACAGAGACTGTGTGGCCCGCAAAGCCTGAAATGTTTGTTCTCTGGTTCTTTACAGAAAAAGTTCTCTAACCCCTGCTCTAGACTCCCTGCTTTGTGATGAATTCATTTATGAATTTTTCTTCAGTGCTGTGTCCCAGGGACTTTGCCAGGTGCTGAAGAGACAGTCCTTTAACTCATTGTCTCGTGTAGTGGGCAGACCATTAGTTAATTACACTTTAGCGTGTGAAACAAGTTCTAAAATAGAGGTAATCTAGGCGCTTGTCAAAGCAGAGTGGAAAAGTATTCAGTCTGCATTGGGGATTACTGAAGAATTCTGGAGGAAAAGTAGGAGGGTTGGCAGTGAGTAGCGCAGACGGAGGTGTTCCAGCAGAGGGAGCGGTGTACCCTGAGTTGCAGAGGGCGAGAGGAGGGTGGACCAGTGCAAGGGGCCTGCAGCTGCTTTCTTGGGACCAGAGCGAGCAGATCTACGCTCTGGGCCCCAGGCAACACCCTCTGCTTTTCACCTTTCAGGTCTGTGTATTTATAATCAGCCCTTTGTTTATGAAGAGAAAGGGTTTTCTTTTTTTCCTTTTTCTCTTTAGGGGCCATGGCTCATCATCTGTGTTTGGATTCTGGTCAGAAGAATACAGGTGGTGGGAGAGTAGTAGGAGTGGTGATGGATGTGTAAATTGGTATAACTTTTCTGGAACGCGGTATGCATCAAGAGTTTAAAAGGTTCAGACCTTGGACCCGGTACATTCCACTTCTGGGAATCGGGTCCAAGAAAATAATCGAAGATTGAGACAAATTATATTCAAGAATTTTTCCAAACATGTTACTTATAATTGTAAAAAAAGAAAAATCTGGATTAATTTAAATGTTTCGTAGCAGATGGTTGGTCAAATAAATTTATGGTACATCCTTAAGAGGGACTATTATACCATACAGAAATAATAAAAACCCTGTTTTGGGGGGAATTTTTTTTTTAAGAGATTTTATTTATTTATTTGAGAGACAGAGATCACAAGTAGGCAGAGAGGCAGGCAGAGAGAGAGGAGGAAGCAGGCTCCCCGCTGAGCAGAGATCCTGATGCGGGGCTCGATCCCAGGACCCTGAGATCATGACCTGAGGTGAAGGCAGAGGCTTTAACCCACTGAGCCACCCAGGTTCCCCCTGGGGGGGAGTATTTAGTGAGTTAGGGAAGTACTTATGATATATTATTAAGTGAGGAAAGAAAGAAGCAAAATTATAGCAGTTTTATAAAAGTTTTATAAAAGTAAGAAGATATTTTAAAAAATACCAGTTTTATAAAAGTAAGAAGATAAATTACATATACATAAAATGTATACATAGAAAAAAGACTGAAAGAAAACCCAGAAAGGTTGGAGGTAAATAAATCAGTTATTAAAAGTAGTTATTGGTAGTAGGATTATATATATTTTATTTTATTTTTTACTATTTATTTATTTTAAAAAAATTTATTTATTTATTTGACAGAGAGAGAGTACAAGTAGGCAGAGTGTCAGGCAGAGGGAGAGGGAGAAGCAGGCTCCCCACCGAGCAGGGAGCCTGATGCAGGGCTCCATCCCAGGACCCTGGGATCATGACCTGAGCCGAAGGCAGCCACTTAACTGACTGAGTCACCCAGATGCCCCTTATTTTATTTTTTAGATTTTATTGATTAACTTCACAGAGAGAGGGGGCATGAGCATGAGGGGAACCTTAAAAAAATGGATATTTATAAGAGTTTATAAAAGCATTGTCATCCTGCTAGTCCCTTTAAATTCTTACCTCATTCAGAGTTCTTGGATATGTTTCATTCCCTACTCTCCAGATCGAAGCACCCGAGAAATGTGTTGTCTGTTACGTAAATAATCAAGTGAATGCTATTTACTAAATTTAGTGTTTTTTGTTTTGTTTTTAAGTAGCCAGTGTGATTTGTTAGGAAGGTTTTGCAGTAAGGAGAGGTGCTGATCTATAGTCTTTTCATTGACTCTGAGTGCTTTATCTTCTACTTGTTTTAAGGGCTTTAATCATACAGATTATAATCACCGTGTAGTGTAGCAAGGCGGGTTCATTAACATCTGTTGTGTATGTGCATGTTATGGAAAATCTGCCCTTTTTTTTATTTAAAGAATTAATTTTGTTCCAAATGTAATTTTCCAAATGTATTTAAAGTGCTAATTCATTCAGTGGGTTGTTTGTTCAATTTCTGAGCTTGGGTAGTTTCGCGTGTCTAATGAGAAACATGCATCTTTTATTACAGTCATGATGGAAAACCGTTTAAAAACCTCAGCAGTCACAGCTGAGTGACATTAAATAAACTCAGGTCACCAGTCATCTGCTACACGTCTGGTAATTCTGTTTTTGGGCCATAGGTTTGACAGATTTGCCACATATTTTGAGATCTCAACCACTTACTATTTTAGATATTATTTACACTTTTTCATCATGAGAAATTAAAATGTGCATAATTGCACAGAATAATACCATGACTGACCCCAGTGGACCTGTCATCCAGTTTCAAACCTGATTAACTCACTGCCCATCATACCTCAGGCTCCCCCAAAGAAAATAAACTCAATTAATTTAATGCAAATCTCAGAGATCATACCATTTCTTCAGGATTAGTTTTAAACATGTAAAGACTGTCTGACCAAGGTTGGCTCAGAGGCTAGCTCTCTGTGTTGTTTTGGAGAAGTCACTTTCCTTGTACAGGCCTCCGTGCCTTAATCAGTAAAATTAAAGAATTATTAAATTTATGTACTTTTCTTTTTCCTTAGAGCGCAAATAGTCCACACATTTATAAGGATTGTATAACTCATGACTAATATAGAACTGAAGTTTCTAGAAGTTGAAATTTGTGAAAATAAATAGGCTTTCATCTAGTGTCTTCTTTGACCTGTGAAATGTTTAATTCTCGAAAATTATAACTATTACCCTTGATAAACTCAACAACAAAAAAAGACCTATCCCTATAGCTGTTTGCATTAGTTTCAGAGAACCTCATTTTCTTTTCTAGTTTTAAAGAAACAGTAACAAGAAAATTGGAAGGCTCACATACATAATTTGTGTAAGACATCTGGGTCAGACACTTTTCTGAAATTTTTGGTACACTTTTTGACAATTGCCTATATTTTACAGATCTTTCTAAAAGTTTATTCCTTGTCTTTGAAAAGTTAATTTCATTTGCTCCTATTCTCATTTACTATATTAAAAATTATTATACCAACATTATTACAGCAATATGAATCGACTGTTAGTTTACCCTCTCACTCCAATAAAGAATGCCTGTTTTTGACTATGCACCTATATGATTCCTATATGGTAATAATTTGCCTAGATACTCTGTTTTCTGATTATTTTCCACTCAGTAAGTGTATGCATTTTCCAAGGTGCTGCAAAACTCTTTTTTTATATTTATCACACTTAACAAGGTTTTTAAATCACTTATCTGTTGCTAGACATTTTGGTTGTTCATAATTTTTCACCAGGGGGAACTTCTTACATATAAATGTTGCTTTTCCTGACAAAGTTTTCAGAAGTATTTGAATAGTTTCATGTGTTATTGTCACATTGTGGTGCTGCTGTACTGCCCTCTGAAGTTTGTACCACTTGACATTCTGTCAGGATAATAGCTATCAGAGGGCTTGGTTTCTCCCTTTGTATCTAGTTCTTCTTTTTATTTCCCATGTTTTAAGTCTCTGTGCCACTTTCTGGGTGTTTTCTCTGGATTTATTTCTAATTCTATCATTCCTTTTTTAGCCATGTCAAATCAACAATTTGACCCAGACATGGAGTTTATTTAGTAGAAAAATTTTTTGCTTCCTAGAAGTTTTTTTTTTCTTTAATATTTTATTTATTTATTTGAGAGAGAGAGAACAAGCACAAGCAGGGGAGGGGCAGAGGGAGAAGCAGGCTCCCTGCTGAGCAGCGAGCCCGATGTCGGGGTCTGACCCCAGAACCCTGGGATCATGACCTAAGCCAAAGGCAGATGCTTAACTGACTGAGCGACCCAGGGTGCCCTGCTTCCTAGAAGTTTTAATTAGTTATTTTTATTTTTATTTTTTAATTTTTTTAAAAGATTTTATTCATTTATTTGACAGACAGAGATCACAAATAGAGAAGCAGGCAGAGAGAGAAGAGGAAGCAGGCTCCCC